TATTTGGATTAACAAATTCAAATAGATTACGTGTCCATGCAACTTGATTTTATTTTGAGATCGGTTGTTCGACCACGATATGATTAGTGACACCCAGTTGATTTCGATTTCTGTAGGCTAGCAAGACTTCAATTTTTGAATCAGAAAGGGCCGATTTTTCAATCATCAATTTAATCTTAACTGTACAATAAAATTGACTTTTGGCAGTTTTTAGCATGGAAGAATTAACTGATTATTAATAAATCGGCCCTAAGAGGATCAAGAAATGTGGTTTACATAGTGGCTATCTAGTGTGGTAAGTTAAGCCAATCTGGCTACCCTGAGTATTCGGAATTTTTTTAAGAAAAATAAGTTGGGAATTTTTCACTCGCTTTCCAGTTAAATTTAGTAGGTGTAACAATTTCGTAGATGGTACAGGATATGTGAATTTATTGAGAGGCATATGTAATACAAAACGACATGATGGATATTTAGTACGTAAAGATTCTTAGTGATAATGTTAGTAATGGACAAAATAACTCACTACTGCAACAATTCGGATAGTTGTTTGGTACAACTAGATAGTTTTTTAGGAAAGTTCAAAGCTATAGCAACCATGTGATACCAAAGAGCCCTCCTGAAATTATTTTACTTATTTATCTGATTTGAAATAACCTTTAACGCAGCGTTCGAAAAACCAGTTCGTGTTTTGTAAAAAGTTAGCTTCGGGCGCCAAACAGGACTTAGGTTCGGATGACTGGAGTCCTGGGCTCTTAACAAACTAACTGTAACAGGTTTGTGATAGTGATTATAATCTTTTGCCAGAAACAGTACAATAGGTTTATTTAGTTTAATGAGTTATTTTTTTTTAAAGTTCGACTAAGTAGGTACTTATTTATCTTTTATAACAAGAAAGGGTACCATTCAGAACATTGGTAAGTACTTAAAGGTAGCTTCAGTTAGTTCTTCCCTTAAGGGTTTGTGAATAAAGGAACATTATTTTAGTGTTATTTTTTAGTAAATGTAATTTAGGTAAGTACCTAGTAAAAAACATAACATGAACCCAATAAAATATGTAATGTACTCACCAGTCCCAATTGGAGTGTGAAGTCAGCGAGCGTCCTCCGCGGGATGAGCGCGCAGCCGACTGGCGCGGGCGCTGCGTGCGCCGCCCGGCGTGTGCGCGTCCCGGGCCCCGCCACACTACAGGTTACGCTGCAGAAGATCCACTAACTACAACACGACACTGCAGGCTCGCATTACAGAAGATATGTCGCATATTTTATAAAAAAAAAATACAAATGAATAGTGGATAGCTGCGTGTCCGTACCATTTCCCATTGTGCCAGTGTCACAGCGGCACAATGGCGAGTACCTAGCAGGAGTAATGGGCTGTACACGAGTGTCCCGCGTCGGCAACCTAGCGACTAGCGAGCTACTTGCTGATAGACAATACATCGGCTGTAAATACCATGAACTACCTACTTACATTATGTATTATCCGTTCGATAGTCTCTATAAAATAGTAGCTAATCGAAATTAAGTAAACTGTAGGCTAAGATGTAGGTTTTTTACCTAGTAAGTACTAAGTACCTATACATACCGTACCGTACCTACTACGTAATTGGAGAATCACTTCAAAGAATTATTCCGGGAATCAAAACCCTGTCATGTTGGTCTACTACTAGGTACTGGTTATTATTCATTAATCTCTGCAACAAAGTCACCATTAGTAAATAAATTCACAGCAACAAAAACTACGCAGGCAAGTATAATGCAGCCACCTCGTCGCTCGTCACCATCAGGAGAAATCGACATAATAATATTATAATCCCCACCCCACCCACCCTATGTTTATTAGTAAGCAGTCGAAGCCTCGAAGGTTCCATCAGCCACATTTCAATTCAATCATCAGACCCAGTTTGATTGCACCGTTATTTTGTGTAGTCACAACTAATCTACATACATACCATATTATGTAGGTTTATAATCTTGAGAACATGAAGACACACAAGTATATATAAACTGCCTCTCCCCATACACACTTATAACTTTTATTATCTTTCAGATCTGTACAACAAGATTCATTACACAACGGACGAAATTGTGAGTTTTGTTTACCTCTCTGCTAATTTGCTTAAACTTTACATTTATATAAATTCTTCTAAAGTTTAGAAGAATAATATGATATAAGATTATGTACTAGCTTCTGCCAGCGGCGTTGCCCGTGTTCCCAAGATACAAAGTGCAATGTTTCACCCAAATATAAATCGCTCTAGGTATTTACTATTTTTACGTATTGGAGGACACCTAACAAACACACATCACATATAAATATTCTCCCAAACGTTCATGTGGTATAACCGTATAACACCAGTTAATAGAAATCTTGTTTTCATTTCTTCAGAACGACAAACGCACACTTTAGTACCTACTAGCTTAACCTGCGCGGTGTTACCCGCTGCTCTGCTCGTATTGGTCGTAGCGTGATGTTTTATAGCCTTCCTCGATAAATGATCGAATCCTTACTTACATTATAAATCGGAAAGTGAGTTTGTTTGTTCTGCCTTCACGACGTAACTACTGAACCGATTGCTTTGAAATTTTGCAGAGGTAAAGTTAGAAGTCTGGATTAAATAATAGGGTACTTTTTATCCCGGAAAAATTTAATATTCCCGAGGGAAAACAAAAGTATTGGTATAGATGGCGCTGTGTGTATTGGTATATGTCACATAGGCTACCTACTTTTTATCCTTTTGTGACGCGAGCGAAGCCGCGGGTAAAAGCTAGTATAAAATAATTAACAATTCGAACCAGTAGTCCCGGAGATTAGTGCGATCATACACTCTTCGGCTTTATATATTTACTATACATGACGCACATTTACAGCAATTTACCATACATATTACCCGTTAATAACACTCCCATAGTAGGTAGGTGCTACTCTGCTGCTGGGGCTGCGAACAACCTTGCCGGGGCTCGAAGCAGGAATAGTGGCGGTATTCAGCAACAACGTACTTCTCTGCTGTGCTCGTGCTACGAAACTGGTGTTGTTAACGACAAGTAGTGGTTTTGTATTGTGTGACTTCGTGTACAGTACGGTTCGTATTTTGACCCAATGCTATGGTCTGCAACGGGCAATTGTATCTAAAATTCTATAGCTTGTCGTTTCTAAAATTCTTAGTAACAGGAGCCTCGAATTATGGCAGGTGTTTAGAGCTATAGGATCGCTATTTCATTAGTAACTGGCGCTAAGTGAGTAATTAATATAACATGTAAATGTGCTCCCTCAGATGTTACATTGCACGCAATTGCTCGTTAGTCAGGGAGGTATTATTGTAATGTAATGCTCCAAGTCGAATCTATAATGTTAAACTACGCGTGGATGCTCCCGGTGAGGGAGCACCTTAACTATATTATGCCCCTCTGGCTGCTCCTTCGGGGAAATGAAGGAACTATGATAATATAATTGTATACTTAAGCTCAGATTTATAGAACTAAGAGAGAATAAAATTAATTATTCCTCATTGTAAGTTAGGACAGGAATAGGAATCAGGAAATGACAGGAAAAGGAATACTGGTCAAGAAATAAAACTCGCGGCGTGTTACAAAAAGTACATCTCTATTAGAGAGGGGCAACGCTTGGTGCCGCGGGCACGCTGCGGGGACGCCGCGGCCACGCTGCCAGTACGCCGCGGCCACGCTGCCAGTACGCCGCGTGCCCGCGCCGCCAGCTGGTCGCTGCGCATGATACATTAGTTTACAACTGTACTTCACAAACTTTAGACCCCACACTGCTACTACTGGGGAACTGTAACGCCCATGTACGTAATTACGTCGGTGATGCCGCGTGGCACGCACCGCGGCCAGTCCCCAGCCTCCGTGCCTCGCCCACTGCAGAGCACGCGGGAGGTAGCGCAGCGGTTGTTTAGTAGTGTTGGCTCTAAATTTTGTTTACAGAATCGCTTATTTTACTTGCAAACGCTGTTATAACGACAATGAAACTTTCCTCTGATATAATTACGGGCCGCGTAATTAAGAGATACGAGCAACGTTTACAAGTAAACGTGTGTAGTGTAAGATAGAGCGGGCCTGCCCACTCGAGGACCGACACCGATGACGTCACGCCTGCACTGTCCGGGGCTGAGTATTGGAGACGTAGTGGCGCCGGCTGACACGTGTAACGATGTCCGTCCTACTACAGCGTAACGAGACTCTCGAATATTATATTTACAATAAATAAGTACACGAAATTTTGCACAGCACGTAGTACCACTACATGCTTCACAACTCAATACAAAAACAATGTACTTACACATATTAGTAGTACAGTTAAAAAATCGATGAAAAACTAAATAAAAAAATACAGTCACTGCCATTTTTTTAGTTTTTTTTAACTAATAATTATTAGAATATAATACAGTTTGAAATCGTTATCGATACTGGCACGCAGTAGTGTGGGCTGTCAGTGCAAGCACTAGTCGGCCACAAGGCTGCGGCAGCTACTGCGCCCGGCATACGTTACATAATTATTATTTCATAGATATCTAAGTAAATGCATAAGAACATCTGCATCAATATCGTTTTAGCGAATCGATACAATAACATACGTTTTATTTTAATACAAAATACGTTATTTATATAATCTGGAAAGGGTTTCGGAGCTAATCTAGAATTTATTATTTCGTGAGGTCGGCGACGCGGCGGCGTCTCATATTCCTAACACTATGTACAGTCGTACGGCCGCGCCCCCGTCCGCCGCGCGCTCGACTCACTACGTCGTACGTACCTCCACGCTGCATTCATTAACTTAAATTCACAATTCAATATCGAATTAAAACGAAACACATCATAGAAGCTTAGCATATCTTACATAGGTGAAAACGAAGGATGACAGACGAGCGACCGACCGGACGTCGCACGCCGCTCCGGCCGACGAGGGCGACCTTTGTCTACCGTCACAACGAAGCGAACATCCTACCGACTAGCTACGGGGCGCCGGGCGCCGCGGGCCGCGCGCCTCTAGCGGCGGTAGGGCTGGCGCGGGGCGAACGCCGCGCGGTGCGACGACAGGGGCCGGCGCCGCGCCGGCTCGCGGGCGCGCGTCTTCTTCTCCTCCACGTTCAGCTTCACGCCGCCCTCCGCGCCCTCGCTCGGGAAGTACAGCGGCTGCAACAATACCACTACGTTCTTACACCGCTCGGCCGTTTATAATGGATTCATTGAAATAAATGCTTCGACTTTTACACGTCAGCTGAATGTGTCCTCGATAATGCAGTTTTCGCAGGTATTAGATCGAGCGTACGTACCGCAGCGTTGAGGCAGTCGTGGGCGGCCTGCGAGGTCTCGTAGGTGATGAACCCGTAGTTGGGGTGCTTGGGCGCGCCGGGCGCGGCGGGCTTGGAGTGCACGCGCAGCTCTGCGACGGGCCCGAAGCGCGCGAAGAGCGCGCGCAGCTCGTCCTCCGTGGCGCAGTGCGGCAAGTTGCCCAGGAACAGCTGCTGCGCGTCCGAGTAGCGCCGCGCCTCGCGCGCCTCGCGCACCTCGCGCGCCTCGGCGGCGGCGCGGGGCGCGCGCGGCGCGGCGGGGGGCGCGGCCGGGGGCGCGGCGGCCGGCGCGCCGGGCGGGGACGCGCGCGCGCCCGCGCCGCACTTCACGAGGTTAGCGTACGTCTTGGGCTCCGGGGCCGCTGCTGAGAAAAAGTTAATAAAACAAATTATATTTTACTGTTATTCATCCAATCTTATTAATTTTCATTATTAATATTCATACTGTCTTGTATCTAAAATTGTTCATATTTATTGCTAACTAGCTGACCCGGCGAACTTCGTACCGCCTAACGGTCAATTAATGTCGTGTTACCTTTTAGCTGAACAAATTTAGGCGTTGATGAACGTAATACAATATAAATATGAACATAAATAGATATATAAAAAAGTATTTTATTATTATGAACAACACAAAATAAAAATTAAGTACTTCAAATACGTGTCAGACTTTTTTTAAGAAATTAAACCCTCGAGCGTCCTTATGAGCACCCGGTGGATCATAAGAAAAAATACTCCATAATGCTTTCTCTTTATAAAATCTATTATTAATGTTTTGTTTTTATTTTGACTGTATTTGTTAAATTTCTATTGTATTGAGCCTTGTTTTCGTGTGCCAATGGCCAAATAAATGCATTTTCTTTCTTTCTTTTTTTCTCCAAATGCCATGTGTGCACCCGTTGGATCATAAGGAACGCGGACGCTCGAAGAGTTAATGTATGTTGTGTAACATGTGATGCACTCGGATTAACTCTATTCATTCAAGCACCTCGTGATAAACGACATGCTTTTATTTTTTTGTCAGGCGCAAGAACAAATAAAGCGGATGGTTTACCGACACTTGAACTTGCCACGTACCATAAGATAACATGCTTTTTCTAAATTGAGGGACAAATCCAACGAACTATACATACATAACATCACGCCTTTTATCCCCGAAGGGCTAGGCAGAGGTACACATTATGGCACTTAATGCCAATGTACGTAGTAGCACCCACTATTCACTTTTATGTTATGAGTCCCATGTAATAGAGGGTGAGCCTATTGCCATATACCTGGCATATTTCCAGACTCCGTGCTACTACTGAGGTTTTTTTATAAAACCCAGTAATACTTTACCCGACCCGGGAATCGAACCCGAGACCCCTTGTCCGGCAGTCGCACTTGCGACCACTCAGCCAACGAGGCAGAGCAGAGGCAGAGAAAACCATGAAATTTGGACCTGTTGATCTCGAGTTGCAAGTGTTGGAACAAACCCGTCTTTCTTTTATACAGAGATAGAAGAAGAAGAAGAAGAACATAGAAGAAGATAGAAGATATATGTTATAGCATGAATAGTCGACGTAGAAATGTCTCATCACAAAAAAATAGTTTTACTATTTGCAAGGCAATTTACATCTGTAAAAATGAAGTAAGTTTTGTATGTTTCGTAATAATTTTCAATCCACCAAGATATTCACCGTTAATTAAAATTTGTAAATGTAGTTATTCAAAGAAACTGCCATTCAAATAGCAAAGTTGCTTACCAGAGTACAGCTTATACAAAACATGTAGCATCAGACCTAAGTATCAACTTTTACAAAAGCGTAATGTCATAGGAAGACGTCATTATCACTTGGTCTGCTTTGGTGCGAAATTCAAATCTTCTTTCATGTTATCCATTTGACACATCTGGTCAGTTTTGTGTGAAAAACATTATGTTTGTGTAGAGTTAATTAACTGGTGAGTATTAGTAGCTGTCCTTACGTGGGTGAGGTGGCGGGGTGGGCTCGCGCTCAGGCTCGGCCTCCGGGGCCGGCTCCGGCGCGGCCGGCGCGGGGGGCGAGCTCGGGACCGCGGGGGGCGCCACCGGGGGCGCGGCTGCCGCCGGAGACGCGGCCGGGCCGGGCGCGGGCGCGGGCGCCGGCGGGGGCGCAGCGGTCGCGGCCGGCGCGGCGGCTGCGCTGCTGGCCACCGGGGGCGAGGACGGTGGCTCCGGTTCCGCCTCGCTAGCAATGCTGGTCCCTGCAGCAAGCAATTAACGATTATACCAAACACCTAATTTTAACATCTCATCATTAGGTTTAAAGTAAAAGTCATTTTAGAATATGAAGACTGAGTTCAAGAGTACCGTGCAATGCCTGCACGAGATCGCGGTGATGGTGCAAGGCTAGCGGATGGCCGTTGAGATGCGGCGGGGCCGGGGGCGCGGGAGGCGCGGGGAAGGCGCCCGGGAAGGCGGCGGCGGCCGGCGGCGGCGGGAAGTACGCGCCGCCAGTGCCCGTGCCCGGGGACTCCTCTTCCTCCCCCTCAGATCGACCTGAGCCGGAACCCTCTTCGTCCGAGAAAACGATATCCTACAAAAAAATAATTATAAAATTATGCCAAAAACATAACACGTATTACGAGAAGTAGATAGATGTAGAGTTTCACACCTGATAACGGAAGATATCGTTATGGACGTAGTATTTTTTGGGTGATTGCGCGGCCAGGACGAAGGTCTGGGTGAAACGGCGCATGGGGGCGCCACCGTTGGACAGCTCGCCCGTTACTTGCACCACCACTCCATTTCCCAGAGTGGCCTGCGCGTCCACCTGTCGACATAAGCTGACGTTAGAGCTGCGCTAACATAAACAGGAGCATATTAAGGCCCCACAGACGATGCAGTACCTGACTGATCTTGGCATGGCAGTCCCGGAAGTTGAGCTGTTGGATGCGGTTGTGAATCTGTTTCTGCCCAACCACCGGCAGCGTCTCACGGTTGGGTGCATCCAACCCTCCGTGGACGAACGACGAGTAATTGTTGTAAAATCTGCAACAAGCACGTGAACTGTGTCACTACTCTCGCTATAAATGTTGATAGTCACCAATAACATGTGAAAATTGATAGTGAAACAAAATATTTCAATCCCTACTAAGGTGCCTAGAGCAACACAAGACAATACAATAAGTTGTAAAACAATCATGAGGTTCAAAGTGTCCAATGTATCTAATAGCCACACTTGAAAACTGCTTGATATGTTCAAAACATTGGCTATACATTTTTAACTTTGTGGGTTTATACTGTTTGGGATAAATTAAGCATCACGATACTATCAATGGGAGCGTCGGTTACACTCCGCGAGAATAGATAGTAAATAGTAATTCATATAAATATAAAATAACCTTAATTTGTCCTGTGTACACACATATTTATCTAGCTGTATAAAGTTTATAACTCATCTAGAAGTGGAGTAGGTTTTTGATCTTGGATTTGTAGGCAGTAAGACCAGGCGATAACGTCAATAACGGTCCGAAATTTTGTTTAATAGCAGTAGAATGAAACCCATTGCAAAGGGAAGAGAATGTGCCCAAACAATATGGCAGAATAAATTACGGACGAACTGAGGTCGGTAATAAAATAGGTGGGCGTTAGAAGACAAAAATTCAGTTTATAGAGATTTGCTGACGACGTATAGGATCTACAGAAAAGAGTTCAATAGCAAAGACTAATACTCAGAAGTTGCAATGGGATATTCTCATATAGGATTAAGAGGAAAAGAGGGCGCTGACAGTTTGGCCAAACTAGCGACTATAGAGGGAACAGACTTTGTCATTTTGTCCTTTTATACTGAAGTATTACCAAACTGTAAAACCTAAATCTATATGACTTTCAAAGAATATTTTAATGAAAGAAGCAGGGAAAAAGGTATCTGGTTAAAACTCTCTAATGTCAGCCTCCTCATGTTCCATGGTTTTATGCTGAATGTTTAAATAGGATAGGTATTGTAACATTACTTCGACTGCGAGCTGGACATTATCCCACAAAACGTTTCGCATTTGTTATGAAAAAAGTAAATTCACCTAACTGTGAAGTATGATAGATAGATAGATAGATAGATAGATTCATTTATTTGCCTGAAATATGGTGGTTTACAGATTTTATGACATAACAATAGTTCATCATATCTCGCCTATAAATTTGGCATGCAAATATTTTAACAAAACTAAATCACGATTTTCAAAAATGATTCTATGTTAGAACAAACAATCAAAACACAACCCTTGCTAATGATTCCAAATCAAAGTACGACAAACTAAGTTACAATTTCTAATAATCAATAATGACTCCAATTCAAAACAAAATAAAATTAAACTACAATGTTGTTGAATATCAATAATTGAAAAAGCGGAGAAATAGAAATAATTAATAAATTAAATTCTCAAATTGAAATCCAGAGTTATTAAATTAAAAATGTCAAAAACAAAAATTTTAGGCTTCAATGAATGAATTACAATGTCAATAGAACAATAATAATCAAATTTCAGATGTCAATAAATTAATTAACAATGTCAATAAATTAAAAAAAAAAACGTACAAATTCAAATGTCAGGTAATATGTCTAAAAAAATCTTCATTCATGTTTCCTATTTGTCCCTGTATTCACAAACTCTTTAACAGTATAAAAGCAATTTTCAAGAAGCCATACTTTGAGATGCCTTCGAAATAGGCGGAATGGGAGCTCTCTAACAACCTTTGGTATGATATTAAAAATCTTAATTGCCATTTGACCTGTGTTATTATGACAGTATGTGGCAAGTTAGATGATGTTTATCAAATGCTGGTGGAGTGTGTTAAATTGAAGGTGGCGAGGGACTCACTGATGCAACATTTAATACAAAAACATGACTTTTTTTTTAAGGGGGGAAAATCATCGAATGACTGCTCCCGCCTGGGTGAGGCGGAAGGGAGTGTCAGACTCTTACTGACTAAAAACCACCCCGTTCCTTCTCCTGCACGTCGAGCCGGAGCCCCGGTTACCCGTTAGGTTCTCCGCGACAAAAAAAATGACTTGGGATCCCTAGTATTTTGTCAAAGCCTTTAAGCAATGCAGCACGATCTATTGTAATGATGTTGCAACAGTGATGACCCGCTGGTATTTGATATTTTTAATTAGATAGATAACTTTGGGTTACGGTGGAGATTTAACCAACAGGTTAAAAGCCCATAAAATAAAATATACTTAATAATAAATTATTTACAACTTTTGTGTTTAGACTTTTTATAAATATCCTCAAAATTGAAAATACTGGTTTATTTCTTTTTTTTTATCTTCCTCATCCTTTTTATTTTTTTGCCCAAAGTTAAGTTTTAATTTTTTTTAGTACCTCTTTTTTTTACCTAATATTGAAAAAGTAATCTCATTTTCAGCTAAAAAATCTCACGGAAAAATTTCAGTAAAGAAACAACTTCTTATTTGTTGAAAGGTCTATTTTTGGATGGTGTAAAAATAAATTACGTTTTTATTGCATCTTCACAGAAAATGCAAATACCGATTTTATTACATCCCTATGTAAAGATTAAGTTATTTTTAATCTAAGCAATAAAAAAAAGTTTCAATCCCGGTAAACGGAATATTTTGCTTCTAACGCCTACCCATCTTTTCCCCAACCTCACATCAGTTCGCTCATAATTAATGTTTCCATATATTTTGGGCACATTCCATTCTTCCCTTTGCAATGGGTTTCATTCTACTAGTATTTAATGTTGTTTCAAATATCATATGCACCAACCAGCCTATGTTTTTACTAAACTGTCTTTCATTTAAGAAACCCTTCTTAAATGAAAGACAGGTAAAAAACCTCTTAAACCAAATCATAATACATATTTTGACACGATTATATTATTTGTCGACGTGTTCGAGCGGTGGCTTAAACTATTACAATATCTCCTAAAGTTGAGTACTTTACAGGACTTTCGATGTATAGGACAATTTTAATCTCTGTATTGAATAAAGTCTATATTAAATAAAAAACATAATGTAATATGCATGATTGTTTTACATGAAACTTTCCTTTTGACTCCGCATTTGTGTGTGTGCCGCCAGTACTTGAACTGGGTTTAGCACGCTACCGCGTGGTTACTAAGCTTTAGTGTAACCTCTGATAAAGGATTTGAATTAGGAGAGGAAGATAAGCAAGAAGAGGCTACTGATGTGGTCTGAATTTCAAAGAATCAATTTTATACCAAATAAATGTATGTTGGCATGTAGATATCCACTGCTGTGTTAGTTTTGCAGTTAATAGTACCTAATTAACTGAGTAACATCAATATTCTAAAGAAATCGAAAAAAAAAAGTAAAAACCAGCAACTTGACGAATAACGAAAAAAAAACAAGATGTTGTTGTGCTGTTGCATCTATGTAACTGAAGCCTATTGTTACTCATAGTTTGTAACAATAAGCCCGTGAGCAGGGTATTAAGGACTACAACCTGAAAATGGCCATCAAACACAGGGACGCGGCAGTCATGGGTGCTCTCTTGGGCGGGGAGTGTTGCTTGTGATGGAACGAATGCAACATGAGGAAATGTGTGTGCAGAAACATGTAGAAATAGAATATGACCAATTGACTTTGGACTATTGTACGCTTTATTGGAATCGGCCCATGTGGCAAGGGTTGAGGCGTCATGCACACATAAATGTCCTACAGTCGGTGGCGCTGTGTGTTGGGTTGTTCCGTTCCCAATAAAAAGGTTGACCGGACCAATTGCTGACACACACGTCATACTCGTGAACGGGTGCCTTCTGCTGGGTCAGGTCGGCTCTCCCATCTTGTTGGTGGGCTGGTTTCATAAAGCCTTTGAAATAGAAATAAATAAATAGTGCCTAATTATTATGTAACCTATACTTTTGCTAATAATTATAGATGTAGTTAATTGTAGTATGTAACTAGGTTCCCTCTTTACTTTATAAAAATTGACTAGATGTATTATAATTAAAAAACCGTATGACAAGGGCACGGACCTAGAGTCCGTGGAGAAATAATCTTTAATATAAAAAAAAAAAAAAAAAAAAACAATAAGCCCGTGCTCGCGTAACTTCGTGTTTTGAACAGTCAGAGAATGATGGATCTGGTGTGTGCCTGTCTGGTATATGGCAACAGGTTCATCTGCTTACATAGACTAGATAACACACTACACTAGGTAACACTAGGCTGTTCTGACAATGCACTGCACACAGCAGTGATGTGTCGTGTATTAAACTGAGTATCTGATGTCATGTCTCGTGGTAATTTTAACTGCTACGTGAAATGGAAGGTTCAAGCGTCTCGTTAACTACCCTATGCATGTAATTGAAAAATAAAAATAAATAGTTTAGTTAGGTTCTCCGCGACAAGTAAGTAAGGGTAATTATTGCGGGAATAATGGTTTCGACACAAAGTACGCAATTGTTACCATCCTATCTCCAATAACTGTTACCTGCCATTAGTTTATGGACCAAACAATTAGTAAGTACCTTGGGGTCCTTAATGATACCAGAGCAAATGGTTTGTAAATAGATATTGAAATTAGTAATAACACAAGATAGTGAGTGTGGACTGGAGATAATATCCGGTTTGTACTTAATTGTTAGTTATTAGACATTACTTTGTCATTTGCTAATAGTCTGCTGGTTTGTGCAGCACTAGTATGGGAAACAAGTCTACTGGTTTGTGCAGCACTTGAACACTTGTTCCTTTTGTATAGATGCTATTACAATTAACTAAGAAGATAAACGGAACAGACACACCGTTATATTCTTAACAACTGAATAAAATTCTTCTTAAGTTTTCATACTGGTATTAAATAAAATAGTATTTTTTTCTTTAAAGATAAGTTAATTCAACGAAAGGTTACCTGTGCAGATGGGCGGGCGCCTTATTTAATAGCGTGTAGTATTGTCGCACGAACTCGCGACCGACGCTCTGCGGTGACGGAGACGCCTCCATTACCATTGCTGTGTACAACGCCAATATAGCCCTCTGCTATACCCTGCCCTGCAATGCAAATAATAACTTTAGTAGTATAACTGCTTGTAATATAAACCTTCTCCTACTTTTGTTGGTTAAAAATGATACTTTAAATTTGATTTTGAAATATAAATAACAATGTGTGACTGTGATAAAATGCTATCAGTTTCGATTCGCAGGGGGCCGAAGCATCCTTGAGAGTATCTTTCGGAAACACTGTATGTGGCACAGTTTGAAATAATAAAGTAGTAGCCCTCCCCCTAATACTTGAGTCTCATGAGTGACCTTTAGATTTATCTAAGTATGAAGATTATGCAAAGTGCTTTGTCTGCATGTCATGAGGACCATGTTACCTGCTTAAATGGTATTTTATCTACAGACTAAAACACTAACCATTCCCACTAAAGTGCACTTTCAGCACAACTGCCTTCTAGACCAGCACAAGAAGACAAGGCAATGCTATTGTTAACTATTTCTAAATAAATAGGTATATAGAGGTATGCTGCTCAACCAAAGGATTGAACCCCCTCTGCTTTACTTTTGATTCGTAAATCAGAGTATGCAGCAAACATAACTGATAATATAACAGTGGATTAAAACATACACATTTTTCATCCTATGTTAATAGCAACAATACTGGCAGTCTCTGAAGTGGTTTTCAAAGGTACATTGTAAACAGACAAATATAACGTACTTTATTTGAGATTTGAGTATTAACATAAACCTTACAGCTATGTTAACAAACCAAACTAAAGAAATACTTAGAAAGATTACTCATTTTCTATTACTACTTTCAGAGATTGAGTCAAAATTTAAAAAAATACTATGAATAAACTAGTCACTCAATAATGTTTTGTTAAAAGTTGATTGTTGTAATTTATGATAAGAACTGCAATGACTTGCCTGTAAAACAAGCAAGACAAAATACTAATTGCAGCATGGAACAGCTAGATGAAGTAAACAAGTAACATATTGTGCCGCGATTATCATAAGGGCGGCCTATAAGACGGGTTAATAATGACAAAATATTAATTTAACACTGCGAACACGAATACGATATAAAAGTGAATCGTATTGTCAAAGCACGCATGGCGACTCAGGCCTGGCTATCAGCTTCTTTTGTTAGGTACTGCACTGGACGATAAAATCACATTTCAAGTTTTTTTTAACTAAAAAATTTCAAAAATAATAACATTGACAAGTACACCTTGTGTTACAACAAGATTACGTTAATCTAATGCAAAAATTTAGGGATTTAACCTTTAAAAAGAGATACGTCTGCCGACAAACACCACAAAGGTGCCATAGTTTTGAAATCAATAATTAAGCAGGTGTACTTACCTTAGTAATATTTAGGCATTAAAATAGCGTAGTCGGCAACAAACTATCAAGAAAACGGTGTAATTTTCACGATAAATAAGGACTGAAAACAGAAAAAGAGCCTACCTCACCGTTCGGGTGTCAATTTTGTCGAAATTCGAAGTGTTGCTATACCTAAAATTATTATTTTCCAACAAAATGACTAACTTTGTAAGGTTTACATAAACTACTAAACTTACTAAAAATATTATGCTATAAGGAGAATTCCCAAAAAAACAAATCCAGAGTCCATTAAAATCATTCATGGACAATATAAAAGATAATGAGTAAGAGGTTACAAATACGCTATTTGTTTAGGCCAAAACCATATAACCGTACGGGCCAGGAGCCTGCAATATTTTACAATTTTGGGTGGTTGCGGGAAGAATTATAATTTTATTGGTTTTAGAATTTTGTTTTGTTCCTATTAATAATGATAGGAAGAATACAGATAACAATTACATTTACGAGTATTACAAGCAAACCTCCAAAACCTATAACTTTTTCAGGATTATTACACCACCACCGATGTGATTTTATTCAAGATCACCAGTATAAACTGGCTGTTAAATTTGCAGAAAGATCATAAAAAGTGAAACCATGACAAACTGGTCTGGTCTTTTTATTATTTGATGACTGTTTCATGGGAAACAACGATTGAATTTGGAATATTATTTATTATACTATATCTCTAATATGGTATACTCTACTTTGCCACACGCAAATAATGTAAATCGATTTTGGATGTTTTGCTCCACATATTTTTAGGCATTGTTCTTTGATATAAAAATTCTTCCGCCTTTTTATTACTATTATATTCAGAATTAAACTACAAATTGAAATGTGTTCTAATTTAAAATTTAATAATAATTTGTTCGATTTAAAACAAAACTCAACCTGAATGAAACTGATCAACTAATTTGATTTTAAAATAGTACTGTCCCTTAAAAAATTAACATTTTAAGTACAACTAACAAGTACTATGAGTGGGGACTTAGGATTCAGACCAAATATTGACAAACTTCTTTACAGCGTAAAAACCTTCGAATGTTCCTGTCATTCCTGTAGATTTTTCTAACTAATTATGAATAGTTTACTCAAGAAAGTATTTAAAATTCATCTCTGTTTTTATAATTTATCGGTTAATTTTACAAAATTATCTTATATTTAGAGTGTAAAGGGTCGTTTAGACCCTTTTCTGCTTATAATTATCTTGTTCAATAATTTAACTGATCGGTTGTCGATTATTTTGTTTATATGTACATTTTTGTAATAGAAGATAGTATTCTTAATACAATTCAATATTCGATGGAGTTACTCTACGGCTATAAAAAAAAACGCGGTAAAAAGCTAAAAGCCATGTAGCAAACTTTGCTGCTTAATGTTGGCAGTAGAAATATCGATTATTCCATGGGTTGGGTTGGAAAATGTTTTGTCCTTGTCGCTCTCATACTTACGTCCAATTATCCTTGTCACTAACGGGATGGACGCCATTGACCTCGTTGAATCATTCTCTTCTGATTGGCCGTTTATTTTGGAGGGGATGATTTTTTGTAAAAAAAGCCGCGTCTATTCATGTGCTGCCAACTTAACGACTGTTTCGCGCCGACTCATCACGCATTTCCTTTCTTTCTTCTGCATTTAGCATTCGAAGATAAAGGTCGCGTGTGGACCTTAGGTTTAAGTTTATTATTAAATAATTTAGCCTAAACATAAGTCATGGCCAATAACGACAACTTTGCACAAGATGTTACCGATAATCAACTAAATGGAAATGCCGAAAATGGTGGTGGCGATACGCAAGAACATAATAGTGCTGAAGCCCCTGGGCGTGATGATGACAGGTAAAGTTGGTTTTTTTATATGTAGATAGCATTCCTAACAGTATTTGTATATTTCTACATTATGTAAAATCATGTGTTAATCATTCAGACATTACGAATATCCATTTAATATTGAATTGCAATTTCTATGTGCGCTAATCATAATGGCGGCGGTCTGCCATTATCCTTATCGGCGAAGCGCTGCCAATCTATATCAATCGTTACGATCTCTTCAAAATTACACATTTTCATCTTTACAGTGCGTTCTCTAGGATTTAATCTCAGACCCTGAAGTCATAGTTTTTATTTCAGAATATTTCCAGGCTATTATAAAATATAGATTATCTCCGAGCCGCATGAAGTAAAATGGCGTCTTATTTGCGCGTCTCTTTTGCACCCGACACCGGCTCGGTTCAGTTATTGATTTTTTGTTTGGTTCGTTGTTAGCACATTTGTGGTTCGTGAATGCCGGTGTTGAGCGGTTTCTAAGCTAGCGGTAAAGCGTACGTAGGTAGTTGCAAGATTTTAAATCGGTAGCGCTGAATGCGTCAGTGAGGGGTCGTCGCCCTCGCGGCGCGGCGCGTTGGTCAGTTTGGGGCGCTACTAACGCTGTGTCTCTCTGCAGGTGTGAGCCTGCGCCGCCGCCGCAGCTGCCGCCGAAGGACGTCATGGTATATATCAGCTGGGCTCACACTAAAGTAAAACTGACCAAACTGACTAGTTGTATCGGCCACTTAACTTTGGGCCTGGATCGGTTGGAGTGTAGCAAAGGGTGTGCAAGGGATTTGGGACTTAGAAAATTTTTCAAAAAAATTAAAATTTTTAAAAATGCCTAGTTTTCTTTTTCCGTCGCTTAGTAGACCTAAAAATAAAGCGAAACTCATCTGAGCACTTTTTGTCTAGGACGTCAGGTTTGCCTGAAAATGAGCCTTAAAGTTCACTTGACGAAAACACTTAGAAAATTTTTCAAAAAAATTAAAATTCTTAAAAATGCCTAGTTTTCTTTTTCCATCGCTTAGTACACCTAAAAATAAAGCGAAACTCATCTGAGCACTTTTTGTCTAGGACTTCACGTTCGCCTGCAAATGAGCTCTGAAAGTCGCTTGGTGAAAACACTTAGAAAATTTTTGACCAAAATTTTTTTTTACACAATATGCCTTCGTTTTGATTTCTATCGTGTAGGGATGAAAAACAAACACTTTTCATTCTGATCATTTTTCGTCTAGCGTCAGCCGTTCTCCAGTTATAGTGAGTGAAAGGTTGACCTGAAAACTGAAAAGTTTCAGAAATCTCATTTTCTTTATACCAATGTCTAGAACACGCGAGTACAATTATTTTTTGTTCTGACCATTTCCCGGTACGAGTTAGCAATCGACAGATATTAGCAGTAGAAGCGTCCAGGGACTTGTAATTTTTTCATGATTTGACGCGGGCCATTTACTTTAGGGTGTGCAAGGGATTTGGGACTTAGAAAATTTTTCAAAAAAATTAAAATTCTTAAAAATGCCTAGTTTTCTTTTTCCGTCGCTTAGTACACCTAAAAATAAAGCGAAACTCATCTGAGCACTTTCTGTCTAGGACTTCACGTTCGCTGAAAATGAGCTCTGAAAGTCGCTTGGTGAAAACACTTAGAAAATTTTTGACCAAAATTTTTTTTTGCACAATATTCCCTCGTTTTGATTTCTATCGTGTAGAGGGATGAAAAACAAACACTTTTCGCTATGATCAGTTTTCGTCTATCGTCAGCCGTTCTCCGATAAAAGCGGGATAATATAACGGATAGGTGGTGTGGTAACCTACGAGGTGTGCGAGGGGCGCCGGACTTGTAGCATAGGGGGGTAGCATGAGGGGTCAGAGACTCGAGAGGGAAATTTGTGGAGGCCGAATACCGTGGGGGTGGAGGTGCTGTAAAAATGACGGCTACATTAATGGCGTCGTCGGTCGCAGGCGGCAGATTACTCTATGATCAGTTTTCGTCTATCGTCAGCCGTTCTCCGATAAAAGCGGGATAATATAATGGATAGGCGGTGTGGTAACCTACGAGGTGTGCGAGGGGCGCCGGACTTGTAGCATAGGGGGGTAGCATGAGGGGTCAGAGACTCGAGAGGGAAATTTGTGGAGGCCGAATACCGTGGGGGTGGAGGTGCTGTAAAAATGACGGCTACATTAATGGCGTCGTCGGTCGCAGGCGGCAGATTACTCTATGATCAGTTTTCGTCTATCGTCAGCCGTTCTCCGATAAAAGCGGGATAATATAATGGATAGGTGGTGTGGTAACCTACGAGGTGTGCGAGGGGCGCCGGACTTGTAGCATAGGGGGGTAGCATGAGGGGTCAGAGACTCGAGAGGGAAATTTGTGGAGGCCGAATACCGTGGGGGTGGAGGTGCTGTAAAAATGACGGCTACATTAATGGCGTCGTCGGTCGCAGGCGGCAGATTACTCTATGATCAGTTTTCGTCTATCGTCAGCCGTTCTCCGATAAAAGCGGGATAATATAATGGATAGGTGGTGTGGTAACCTACGAGGTGTGCGAGGGGCGCCGGACTTGTAGCATAGGGGGTAGCATGAAGGGGCAGAGACTCGAGAGGGAAATTTGTGGAGGCCGAATACCGTGGGGGTGGAGGTGCTGTAAAAATGACGGCTACATTAATGGCGTCGTCGGTCGCAGGCGGCAGATTACTCGTACCGGGTGTACGAAAAAAGATTTTAATTGCGACGGCGACAATTGGGGCTGCTACACCGGCAGTTTCTACTCTTGATGCCCCTTTTCCCTAAACCGGGATAGACCCTATGCATATCCCTTAGTAGCCGGCGAAATCGAGCCGCGTCTGATGGGAGCTGTCTTAAAATGTTGTGGCGGTACATGTATTCTCCCATGTACCACTTAAGGCGACGCTGGCTTCGACATGTCCGACAATGCCTTTTTAGTTCTAGCCACTGCCGCTCCAGGGTGTTGGTGTGGATTTTTACCTTTACGTTCCCACCTGGAGCTGGTGCCCCCAGGGAGGTATCTACGGGAATGTCAACCGTGCCCCCGACAAAGTTCAGGCTGTGGTTGACAGCTGAGTGACCCCTCATGCCCAACCGTAAATGTATATTATTGTAGGCGCGGTGCATGTCGGACATAATGTACGACCCTGTGCGAACGTTTGCCTCCACTATAGGGTCCAGAGTCGTACGCGCTTTGTTTGGGATTAGCTCTACGTGTATTTGTCTGGTAAGGCGGCTTATGCACCCAAACGACCATGTTTGCCGCCTTAACAGCCGGCCCCTATGGTATTTTCTTGTATACAAATGTGTCTCGTCTATTTCTACTACGTCGTTGCTTCCGCCTAACAAGTCTCTGTCGTGGGCTTCTGCCACCTCGCACACCTCTCTTAGGTAATGATACGTTTGGATTGCCGTTTTCTTTGTAACCCCAACATCTTTTGCCGCCTGCGACACTTTATCCTTTCTCAAAAAATGTACCATAAGACGTAGCGTGTTTAACACGCTAACGTGGGCCCTCTCAAAAAACGTATTTTTAAGAGGGGACCTAATGGACGGCCTGCCCTCCCTAGCACACCTCCAGCACCTTAATCGGTACTTAAGCTTGTAGCTCATTTTGGCCTCTCTAGACATGGGGCCTCTGCATGTTGGACACCTAGGCGTCCGGGCTGGAATAAGCAGCCACGCTTTGGCTGCAGTCACAGCAGTCTCCTCATTAGGAATTGCGCAAGCGTAATTCCACAAATTGAAATTGCGCGCCAAAATCAACTGCAGCGGGTCCATGATAAATTAAAAATATATATAATATAATAAAAATGAAACTTAAATCTACTGTAAAACTAAAATAAAATAATAAGAAAACTTAAAACTAAAATCTACTTCTAACTAACTAATTAACTAACTACGTACTTACTAACTATTAAAAATATTAAAAAAAGGAATAATTAAACTAAACTAAAATAAGAAAAACTAAAAATCTACGATCGCAAAATAATATTTTCAAACACCAAACGCACAAACAAATCGAAATTTGAGAGCAAAATTTGCTCAGAAATGCGTCGCTTACATCGACTTGCCGAAATTTGGCAAAAACATCGATATCACGCAGACACCGGGTCGCGCGGGCACTCCCGCGCGAGCGGGCACACGCACAAGACGTGTCGGGAATTTCTCTATGATTTTTTTTTTATTAACTTCAGCTAAAAAGTTCCAATGGAAATATCAATTCTTTTTTGTGTTCTATACGTTTTTAATCATTGTATAATAAATAAATATTGTTTTTGATTTTTTTTAGCAATATTTAGGTTTCGACGACTATTTCCCGCCAACCCTCTGACGATAGACGAAAAATGATCAGAATGAAAAGTGTTTGTTTTTCATCCCTCTACACGATAGAAATCAAAACGAGGGAATATTGTGCAAAAAAAAAATTTTGGTCAAAAATTTTCTAAGTGTTTTCACCAAGCGACTTTCAGAGCTCATTTACAGCGAACGTGAAGTCTAGACAAAAAGTGCTCAGATGAGTTTCGCTTTATTTTTAGGTCTACTAAGCGACGGAAAAAGAAAACTAGGCATTTTTAAAAATTTTAATTTTTTTGAAAAATTTTCTAAGTCCCAAATCCCTTGCACACCCTAAAGTAAATGGCCCGTCAAATCATGAAAAAATTACAAGTCCCTGGACGCTTCTACTGCTAATATCTGTCGATTGCTAACTCGTACCGGGAAATGGTCAGAACAAAAAATAATTGTACTCGCGTGTTCTAGACATTGGTATAAAGAAAATGAGATTTCTGAAACTTTTCAGTTTTCAGGTCAACCTTTCACTCACTATAACTGGAGAACGGCTGACGCTAGACGAAAAATGATCAGAATGAAAAGTGTTTGTTTTTCATCCCTCTACACGATAGAAATCAAAACGAAGGCATATTGTGTAAAAAAAAATTTTGGTCAAAAATTTTCTAAGTGTTTTCACCAAGCGACTTTCAGAGCTCATTTGCAGGCGAACGTGAAGTCCTAGACAAAAAGTGCTTAGATGAGTTTCGCTTTATTTTTAGGTGTACTAAGCGATGGAAAAAGAAAACTAGGCATTTTTAAGAATTTTAATTTTTTTGAAAAATTTTCTAAGTGTTTTCGTCAAGTGAACTTTAAGGCTCATTTTCAGGCAAACCTGACGTCCTAGACAAAAAGTGCTCAGATGAGTTTCGCTTTATTTTTAGGTCTACTAAGCGACGGAAAAAGAAAACTAGGCATTTTTAAAAATTTTAATTTTTTTGAAAAATTTTCTAAGTCCCAAATCCCTTGCACACCCTTTGCTACACTCTGACCCCTGGATCACCTTTGCCAATTTCAAATCTTGCGATATGATTGTAACATCTTGTTTTTCACATTTCGTTGTCCTGATTGATAATGTAAATTTCCAGACTTTACTTTTGTAACTTACAGGTTGTCAATTTGATTTGCTGCAGTGCTTGGAGTTTGTTTTGAAAAAATAGTAGCTGTAAAGTACTGTAAACAAGTACTGCATAGTGTTAATTGATAAATTTTAAGTCAGTTTCTAAATCGAGACCGTCTCAATTGTACATTTCTTCATGTATTAATCAAGTTACTATGTGTCCACAGAAAACTTTTTGTCGGAGGCCTGAGCTGGGAAACCACAGACAGTAAGTGTTACTGTTTAGATCAATATTAGTAGTGTTTTAATTGTAAACTCATTCATGATGACTTAATTCAGTTCTGCTTCTGATTAAACATTGAAGAAGCTTTTACCCACATTTCTGAGTATTTAACATTATTTAATCCCTAAGTATGACTTTGTAAAAATGATAAGTTAATAAGTTTATGCTGTTTACAGAGGAGTTACGTGACCACTTCAGTGCGTATGGTGAGATTGAGAGCATCAATGTCAAGACTGATCCAAACACTGGCAGATCAAGAGGATTTGCCTTTATTGTGTTCAAGGCACCAGATTCAATAGACAAAGTGATGGCTGCTGGAGAGCACACTATTAACAACAAAAAAGTTGATCCGAAAAAAGCAAAGGCTAGACATGGAAAGATCTTTGTTGGTGGTCTAAGCAGTGAAATATCAGATGATGAGATCAAAAACTTCTTCAGTAATTTTGGAACAGTAAGTTTCATTTTTATGCAATAAAGATACTGTCACTGAAAACTAGTGATGACAAATCCGGTTTCGGTGAGATAATTGTTTCTAGACATTTATTGAAGAAAAATCCGGGCCACTGACAAAATCATTACTTATTTTTACAAATTTGAGATTACAATGTAATATTTATATTTGACTTTGTTTCCAGATAATTGAAGTCGAGATGCCTTTTGATAAAACCAAGAATCAGAGGAAGGGATTCTGCTTCATCACATTTGAGTCTGAGCAGGTGGTCAATGAGCTGTTGAAGACCCCTAAGCAGACCATTGGTGGCAAGGAGGTCAGTACGAATAAAAACTTAAATTGATTTATTTATTGCTATTAAAAATGTTGAATAGTTGTACAAATAAAATGTATGATTGCAGGTTGATGTGAAGCGTGCGACACCTAAGCCAGATGGTCCCGGAGGAATGGGAGGACGTGGAGGTCGTGGCGGTCGTGGATTGCGAGGCGGTCGCGGTCGTGGCGGATACGGAGGCCAAGGCGCTTGGGGCAACGGAGGTTACGGCGGCTATGGCTACGGACAAGGAGGCTATGGCGGCGGCTACGACGGATACGGCTACGGCGGCTACGGTTACGACGGCTACGGGGGCTACGGCGGTTACGATTACTCTGGATATCCCAATTACGGTAAACGCGGCAAGCAGTACTAGTATAGTGGCGAGCCCCCGCTAGCCCGCTCACCGACACATTACCTCGACTGATGTTACCTGATCCTAGGATACGATGTGAAACGTAGTAGAGTAAGGCGCTAGGTTAGCGTTGCGAGCGAGGCGCGACTCCGTCCTCGAGATATGCCTATTTACATTATAGTGAACGTTTATTTTACGAGGAGATCGACATCACGCGAAGCTTAGGTATTTAATTTAGTGTGTAGGAAAATATTTATTTTTCTATATATTTAATGTTCTATCGAGATAATGTGTAGTGAATGTTGTCGAGGCGACAGTGTATAATCTGAATATAATCGCAGCTCTGTCAAAATTTGAAAAACTAGGATTAATCATCTCATATAACTTTGCTAAAAATCATATTAAGTTGCATATTTTGTTTATATCTACGAGACGACGCTTTGCCGACTCTTGTATGTAGATCGTAGTGCAGTTGCCCATTCGGCTATCGCTCTTTATCATTGTTTCCACGGGTATAAACTATATTCTGTACATATGTATGTTACCTGCCTTATGTTTATAAGCGTTCGTTTGTAATACCACTTTTGACATATGTAGCAATGTTGCTCGAGTTTCTATAATTTTTTTTTGGTAACTTTACCTTTTCGACGCTCTCGCCACATGCTACATTTGGGAAATGGGGTAAATATGGAGAGACATTGTGAAAGTGATAAAGATATGATGAAGCTTTTGAATAAAGCACTGTTACAAAAATTCTCAATGTGTTTCCATATGTAACCCTAGTCCACTCCTTGCCCTGACTCACCACACGCTTCATTCAATACAAGTACCTATAATTTTTTACTTACTAATCGCATGCACAACTATATGCATAACTTATGCAGTGTTTAGTACAAACTGCCGTGGTTTACTTCATTAAATAACAGACATGATGTATGGAATACGACTAAATGGTCAATATAACACATGGGGAATTACTGGAACTTCATATGAATTACTAGTAGCTAATGGGTTAAGTTGTCAAGGTGTAGTAATTTAAGGATCTGTTTGGTTGTGCACGCGTCGCCTCACAACACGCTTGTTCCGCTGAGACAGCGTTTCTTGGTGTTGCGGGCACGGGTAGATCTTAAATCGTCTCAAAGTATTTTTAAAAAGTTTATTTGGAAACAGTCGGTTGTAGGTATAAACGAATTACATATCTAAATATACCGGTAGACAGATAACGTTACCTCTCGACTAGTAATGGTACAAGTGCCTAGCAACACAAACGTTTTCTGAGAAATCGATATCCCTCTATTCCCCCGGCCCACAAGTTCGAGAGACGATTTACGAGCTACCCAACCGGCGGGACGATACCGTCCGGTCGTCCCCGCTACGGCGGGGCGTCCGGGCGGCGGCATGTACAATAACTAGCCGACGTCGAGCAGTCGCCGCGACGTCCACCGTTCCGGCCACGAGCGCGCGCTGCGGCGCGGCGGGCGGAGCGGTGGAGGCGGACTAATGTTTTGTGTTGCGGGCAGACTACGGCGGGTACGGAGGGTACGAGGGCGGGTACGGCGCGCGCGCGGCTCCGCGCGGCAAAGGTACTGCACTCTGCCACTCATTGCGCTACCTCCATACTCATGCCAAGCTAATGTGGCTTCACGACGCGAGACGTGCCAAGCGCGAGCGTTGGTCTATCATTACTGACTGGTACTAGTTTCGTTAAAAAATCTCTGCGTGAACTCTTGTTCGTTTTCAATTTGGAGCGTATAGGGGCTGAGTCAGTTTTAGTTCCCAAAACTTTCGTTATAATGTTCTTGGTAAGAGCGTGGAGGAAGCAGGATGACGAGCAAGCGTAAGGGCGGATGGCCGGCTGCGCTCGCTCGTTGTGTTTCAGTAACAAGTATGTGTAGTGTATGTCTGAGGCCGGGGGACCGCCGCTGAGACCGCGCTTGCGGCTCGCATGATATTTAACTTGCTATATTTTGGCTTGCTAAGTTCGTTACATATTTCTAATGTTTGAAAATATAATGTGTTGATTACTGTTTCACTAATTTCGGATTTGTAACTACTTTATTTACTTTTTACGTTGATTAAATTTATCCGTACTTAGTGAAACTCGCATTAGGTATTCATACATCTGTAGTTGTGTGTACTCCAAATAATAATTCGTGAAGGTGCTGATCGTTCAAGGCGCCCCACGCGTCATTCATGTTAGATTTTTGTGTATATTGACTTGATTAATCTTCATTACAAAAGTGTACTAAATATCAATGTGAACTACAGTGCTCATATTGCATGGGTAAATTAACTTTTATAGTCCTAATATTTTCCAACCACAGCTTACAAATAACATAGAACCAGTTATGTAGAGTTTAGCGTTACAAACAGGTGACGTTACAGCCGGGTACCAAGGTGGCAAGCAGCGCGGCGGTGGCGGCGGCGGAGGCCGCGCCAACCAGAGGCACCAGCCCTATTAAACATTGTACCTGCCGATAGTCATCTCAGTCCAATAGTGAGGTGAGCTTTATACCGTGTCTTACCTATTATTGATTTCGTTTAATGTTTCAAAACTGTAGTTGTGAGTAGTTTCACAGTGGACGTTATTTTTGTTTACAGGTTAAGTCACCGGTCATGAGTGTCCCCTGCGCTTCTCGCCTCGCCGCGCTGGGGGCACTTCATTTCATTCCACATAATTAATTTAAGGAAGTAATTGATAACATTTTAAGAAGATTTTTTAAGGGTAAAATACTGTCACAGTTGCGATAAGGCCGTTCGGACGGCTCTAACGTACATTTATTATAATATAGTATGAATTATAGATTCACTCTGAGTATTATTGCAGATTTATTAGATTCGATTATGACTTATGTCTCGAAATTTTACCTTACGTACTGAACACTAGAAATAATAGAATAATTATAATTACAGAGCTTATAAATTTGTAACAATGTCCCTGTCGTCGGCGAGTCGTCTTGTGACGTGTTGCGTGTGTATGAGTTCGCGGAGACGCGTGCGAGTGTGTGTCGTGTGAACGTGTAGTAGTCGCCCTCATCTTTACTGTCTGTTATTGATCTGGATCTCATCGCAGATATGTAGTTTTGTACTTTAATTTGGTAAATGATTGAGCAATCAGAATCATGTATTTTATACAAATTAGATGTTTCTTCCATTGATTAGGGATGAAATAATTTTTTTAGACATAAGTAATCGGTCATGAACAAACTGGAGATATACCAAGTTGTGTATGTCAGAATAAAACAAATGTGTAAATAAAATATTGACTTTTTGTCTGTGTTTATATGTTACCGAGCCATATTTGGTATAGGAGCAGAAACATGTCACCTGTGTATTCTAAAGCAATAAGATTGTAAGTTTGTTATATTTTTGTCCCTTCCTAACTAATGCACACATAGACTGGAATAAGTAGGTACTATATCATCATAGTAAAATTCTACACTTATTAATTAGTTCCCGTACAGCGAGATACCTTCTCTAGTATCATCGTAGGTTTGCTTCACCCTCAGAGTAGACAAATCATTTAATTAAACTAACAGTATGAGGAGTACCTAGCTAGCTCATAGTTAATTCCCAGAGATGTGTAGAATTCTGTTCCACAACAAACGTGGGGTAGGTAATCTAAATTATGTCTTCCTAAACTGACCTATAATCTCGCTGGCATGAAAATACTCATTCCTAGATTTCCTAGTACCTATTCCTACTATCAGACTACGCTCCATTTCTGTATTGGACGAGAGGTCCATAGCAGAGGTGCATTTTCCAGATTCAAATTAGGTAGGTAGTTAATTACCATCCATCACAAAGTAGGTAACATCCATAACTCAAATAACTATATATGACTAGCGACTCGCCCCGGCTTCGCACGGGTGCAATACCTACGCATTATTATACATAGGTATATTCCATCTATTAAAAAAACGCATCAAAATACGTTGCGTAGTTTTAAAGATAAGCATACATAGGGACAGACAGCTATTAAAATTTAGCTAATATGACACGGTTGAAGATATACCATAGCAGCGCCATCTATTGATTACCTACTTACGGTAAAATGGGGTGGATAGGGATCGAGAGGTGAATAGGGACAGAAGAGGGGTGAATCGATACTATGAATGATTTCCCAATATCTATTCACCCCTCTTCTGTCTCTATTCACCTCTCGATCCCTATCCACCCCATTTTACGGTACTCAACCTAGTCGAAAGGTATTGACATCTGTGTGCCTAGCACGAATATCTATCGCATTCGTAACGTAATAGTATCGAGACATCGAAACGTCATGTGACGAAAACGGAATGTCGCAGCACGAAGCCTATCGTATCGTCTTTCGAGAGCTCGAATCAAATTCGTTAGTGACGTCATGCTGATGTAAAATAGAGAAGCACCCAAGTGAACGAATTGAATGACATAAGATTACGTCTGAAAACTAAACCATTTTTAAAATATTTTTCTATCTTTGTCTGCACGATTAAGGCTTTGATAATTTGTTAAGATATATTGGTTAAGCAAAAAAAGGCCAAGAACGGAGTTTACGGGTACATAAAGTGACATAATCGTATTATTACAACCAAAAAGGTACTAGTTAGTTTTGTTGTTTCATAAAATATTTTACAATTTCCGAACGTCGTCGTCGAACGTCGTGTTTGACAGAGGTCAAATTCAAATGCCACTATGTCAAGTTATTTGTTTGTTTAAACTTTCACTATGATTTCTATATTAATTAATATAAAATAACTCAATTCTAAAGCGAAATAAGGGTGGACTTAATGGAAAGTATCGTAAGTAAAAATTCCAACATAAAATACGCGCGAAAAACAATATGAGTATTGTTTTTCGTAGTCGGATTATTATTGTTTTGAATAGTTTCTCTTTATTGTGTTTGACCTAATATGCATTGTAATGTGTATTCCAGGATTCCAGGAGTTTGTCTAAGCCAGCTTTTCGACACCATAAACCACTTCTTTTCCATTAGAGAATGAATAGACCAGCAAAAAAGACTAAACTTGAACTGACGAAAATTGTTCTTGCAACTTGATAATAAAACAAGTGATGATGCTAGGAAGTGTGAGGGAAGATAATGAAATATACCTAATAGTGCTGACGTGGTGCTCCTATACCTAAGTTTCGTCATGTGGAATACAATGAGACAAATAAACATGCTTATAGTATTAGATTTTATTTTTTTCTTGAATCTCTTTGTACAATAAAATTTGTCTTTATATACATACAGTCTTTCTCATTGGAAATATAGTAACATATTGACAGAATATTTGCTAAAATTAAATTATATTGATTTGTGATAAAGTGATGTCTTGAAACTAAAGTTGCATAAACCTAGTTCAAGCAAATCGCTACAAATATTAGTACATGTCCTTTGTTTTTTTTGTCAATACTTTTAAGCAAAATAATATATTGTTATTATAATTAATAATCAATCATAATTAAATATTAATATTGTAAATTGCAAAACTAACAATACATTTGTAAAATATAATTGTAAGTGGAGTCTTATGAAATAAATTATTCTTATTCTAATAAAGTATTGAGTATTGAATCTACTTATTCTGTCTTCTAACACATTCCTTTTATCCTACCCTGCAAAATGCATGTTCAAAGAAAGAGAAGTATATGAGATAATTATCTAGCGATTGTGGTTTGGGCACGTTGAAAATATATCTCCTCTATCTATCCTATCCTATATAATGTACGTTGAAAGAAAGATAAGTATATGAGGCATATAAAAGTTTATAGTGCTTGTGGTTTGGGCATATCAAAATATAAGGCTAAAATTTGTAACACAACTAAGCTGTTATTGCTTTTAGCACAATTTTCGGTGGCACAGTGGAGTATGCTCCTTGCACAAGCAACACCATCGGTTTTTCATCGTCCAAAAGTTTTGTCAATAGTTATCCATCTACGACGACCAACATAACAACAAGTGGCATTCTCCGCATCATTATTGCCATGTTTCCCGAAAACATTGATGTTGATGAATTATTTCATATGCACACTACTTGTTTTGGTTCATTTTAATTTATAATTGTCATAAAATCTTAATTTTAAAATGTTTCGAAACCTTTCTCACCGGCAAATTCTAAGTGACAAATGTTTTGACAGTTTTCGATAGCCAGCCTTCGAAATTTACGTTACCGTTTGTCAAAAGATCGTTCGTGCTTCCAATTTGTGTCAAAATGTTCTAAGTTTCGATAGCAACACGATACGATTACTAAGTATACGATAGTTGTCAAAATCATTCGTGCTTGCGGAATTTAGTTCCTTTTACGCACGGTAGGGGCGCTGTACAAATCCCATAGAAAATGCTTTCGATGTCGATACGAATACTTTCTCGATAGTTTTCGTGCTAGGCACACTGTTAGAAAATTGTGACTGTCAAATAATTAGCAATAAATTAAAATTGCGACTATAGGTAATTTGAGATTTAAACTATCCTATCTCTCAAGTTGGATCGAACCGCACATGGTGTGCGAATTTTATTATAATCGGTTAAGTGGTTTAGGAGTCCATTGAGGACAAACATTGTGACACGAGATTTATATATACCTATTAAGAGAAGATTATCACTGGGTAAGTAGGTAGGCAGTTCGATTGGTTAGGTAGGTAGGTAATGAAAGTTTTGAAATAACACTAATTACCGTAGGTACTTTTAGGCATATCAACAACAAACATTTAATGAGTAGCTAAGTTACCAATTGACTGATTAAAATATTAGGTAAACAACAAAGGTGCAACAACAAACTTTCTTATAGGTACAAGGCAAAAAGAAAATCCTTACTTCCTTATCCTTACTTATATTATAAATCGGAAAGTGAGTTTGTTTGTTTGTTTGTTTGTTCCACTTTCACGCCGTAACTACTAAACCGATTGCTTCGAAATTTTGCAGACGTAAAGTTAGAAGTCTGGATTAAATTAATAATAGGGTACTTTTTATCCCGGAAAAATTTGATATTTCTGAGGGAAAACAAAAATATTGGTATAGATGGCGCTGTGTGTATTGGTATAGATGGTGCTGTATGTCATTTAAAACCAGTCAACGAATTACCTACTTATTGGAAAAATGTAAATAGCGCGATATAACCGAAACGCGAGCGGAAAGCTATTTGTTTGTTTGCTTGTCTTAAACGGCAGAACGGAGGTAAACGTGATTTTCTAACTGAAGATAGTCGAAAGGATGTACATCCTTTCGACTATCTGGATACATGATATTATTTACAATAAAACAAATTCGTTTAATAGGTGCGTCAGAACAATCGTTCCATTGTATAACACAAAGACAAGGCTTTTCGTTTATTAAACTAAGTACTAGCATGATAGATGATTTCATAACCCAATACCTCTTTAATAGTTGTTATAGTTTCTTAGTATTTTAAAATAATAATTAGAAACATGACACAAAAACGCCGCAAGAAAAAACATTACCCATTTTTTTTTTGTTATACAACAAAAAAGTACCAAGCTGAGTTACTACAATTCTATTGGTGGACGAAACCAGGTAGCCAAGAGTGGGCGTCAGTCACTGCACAGAACATTCATCCTAAATTTGGGTACCGATTAAAATCGTCGATAGTACATAGGCTACTTTTTATCCTTTTGTGACGCGAGCGAAGCCGCGGGTAAAAGCTAGTACTAAAATATTTAATACCTAGGTATCATCTGCGAAGTAAGTAAAATATACATTACCTACGTAACGTAGAATGGGTAAGTACCTACGTACCTAATAAAAACGTTCCAGGAACTCCTGCCCACGAGATCAATGTGTGAAGCAGAAAATACCTACACATGCATTTCAAAATTCAATTTCAATCGAACACAATTACAACTATGTAGGTACAACTTTGACAGGTACTTACCTACCTACCTACCCCTACTTGAAAAGGCTTTAGGTAGGTACCTACCTTTAATAGCCAGCTGTCGACGGTGGTTGCAATACGTGTGGGTACGTACTAGGGTTGCCACCTTTTTGGTATTTAAAGTACCTACATTGACGATTATAGGTAAGAAAAAAAGTATATAGTACAAAAATAAAGTACAATTTATTTTTATTTACTATTATATTTAAAAAAATATTTCTTATTACTTTTTGTAGTTTATATTAAATTAGTAAAATTAAATTAGTTTACTAAACAATTGCATTGAAATACTAAACAATTGCATCTTTACTAGAAATTGTCTAAGTGACGCTGGCGAGTGGCGAAATATTCAACATATTTGGATAAATATCGATATCGAATCGATAAGTTTACTAAAAAATACGGTTTTAATAGAAATGAAGTTTGCAAAAATAAAGTATTTTTATATACTTTGTTATTCTTATAAAGTATAGAGTACAATTACCTTAAATAACGTACAATACTTTATTATAAAGTAGGGGTGGCAACCCTAGTAGGTACCTACCGTAAAATGGGGTGGATAGGGATCGAGAGGTGAATAGATATTGGGAAATTTTTCATAGTATTAATTCACCCCTCTTCTGTCCCTATTAACATCTCGATCCCTATTCACCCCATTTTACCGTTACATATAAGGGTGTTCAAAAAATATTGGATTAGGTATGTAAGTCTAATTACCTAATCATTTCTATTAGTAAATGATCAAGTCTTCTTCACTTTATCGTATAGGTAAGGTAAATAATCTTATCTACCTATAACATCTGGCCTAAACCAGACGCGGATATTGAAACCCTGAATAAAAGAATTAACTGTAAGATACAATGCATCCCGGTAGGTACCTACCTACCGTAAAATGGGATGAATAGGGATCGAGGTGAATAGGGACTGAAGAGAAGAATTTCTTCTTGGTACTTACGTACCTATCGATTCACTCCTCTTCTGTCCCTACTCATCCCATTTTACGGTAAGTACCTACCGGGACCTCTATATCGTAGTTTTTTATCCCAAAAAGTATAAAATGTAACCCTAGTTGCTGGTGCTGGTTACGCGTATTTCCCTCTCCGTGTTTAACTGGCGACACCGGTCTCGCGAAATCCACACGCTTTTGTTTTACTACGGAATCCTACGAAAGCAATCAAAAATCACATACCACCTAGGTATAAAGTCCTCATCAATACAAATTAATCAAACCCAAACACAAGATAGCTACTGGTAACCGCTGAAGAGTTCCCTCAACTATGGTAGTATTTCATCATCAAACCCTAAAAAAATTAGCAATCACATACCACCTAGGCATCAATACAAATTAATCAAACCCAAACACAATGTTGTTATTGTTAACCGTTGAGGAGTTCCCTCGACTGTTCCAGACAGCTCCCTGACAGCTCCAGACCTTTATCAGATTGTAGTGGTTTTAAATACTTATCGAAAAAATAAAGTTCCCCTCGGTTTCCCTGGGATTCCATTATCAGGCCCTGACTTCATGACAATGGGACCAAATGACAAACCAACCCTTTCACACAAAAAAATAATTTTTGAAATCGGTCGATCTGTCTTCGAGTAATCGAGGAACAAACAAAAAAAATACAGTCGAATTGAGAACCTCCTCCTTTTTTTTGAAGTCGGTTGAAAACTATGGTTGAAAATGATATACGATGCTGACGGTGGTTACGTCTCTGCTAATACCTAATACTTCAGCTTTGCTAAAATCACGTACATACCTACCGGCTTATGCGTAGCTAATTGGCTATAGGTCTGGTGGCTTAGGGGTATGGGTGTAGCCAGCCATAGGTCAGGGTGGGGCTCGGGTAAACTACTTTAAGTGGTCGCTAACATCATCCAGTTGATGAGCAAGCTGTACCTAGTGGCATTGGGTGAAGTACCTACATAGCATCTACAACTGATAGCCAATGGAGTAGAAAGAAGATTTGGTACCAGCAAGCGTCACGCTGGATGTCCAACCTCAATGTAGACAGACAACCCATAATTAAGACCCATAAGAAAACTGCTGGATGCAGGATCGAACCGGTTTATTTGGAATTTATTGGGGATGGCCATGTTCTGTAGTCTTGTGGTTGATGATGATGAATCATGAAATATGCTTGGGGCTAAGTACTTTTTATTCCAACATTTTTTGTCAACTAATAACATTCAAGAATGAAATTACTTGAATTATAATTATATTGAATGTATGTACATAGTAACTGTCTATATTTTATTTTTTGGTTATGACCTTCCTGTCGGGTCTGAGCCAGGGTGTGGCGACTGACTACGCCCATGCCAGGGCCCAGGGGTCTTACCTTATCTACTTCGTGTTCTGTATATTTATGTGCCTGGATCATGAAACTGTCAATACTATGCAATTTTGTACCTACCTATATTTTGTGAACGTGATACGTCATCACGTGTTGTTATAGGTTTCTGTCCCAAGTGTAGAAGATATCATGCTAAGTGGCCGGTGTACCTACCTGCCTAGTACTCAGTACTGATTGAAGTGCACGGCTGACTCAGCGTACCACTTGGCTGCTGCAATAAGTAGGCTGCATTACTGAGACCGGCACAGTGCTCACTGAAACGCCAACATGTACAAACTATTGTTGCTGAGCTGTCTGCTAGCCAGCTGTCTTGCTGGACCCCACGATGTCCCATCTTGGTGAGTTTTTACATTCGCTATAGTTTAGGTACCTACCTATATCTACGCAGACGTACATTATAATAACTTATTTACATGGCTATAGAGAGACTATCACAAGTGGCTGTGGCTTTTATTAAACCATCTCAGATGAGAATGAGGCGGCCACGAGTAACTCGTGGCCGCCTCATTCTCGTCAAACTCGTGACGAGTTTTATTTCTTACTAACTTCTGCCAGTGGCTTCGCCCGCGTTCCTAGGGGTAAACAGTAGCCTATGTATTACTCCAGTCCAGACCACAATCTACGTCTGTTCCAAATTTCGTCCCGGTCCCTTCAGCCGTTTTGATTTGACTGAGTAACAAAAATAAATAATAAAAAATGCGTGGTGTGTTATCCAGGATACGCGACGCGTCTCGGCCGCCGTGGCGTGGAGGGCGCGGCTGCGCAGATCGGCGCGCGGGTTGGGAGGCGTGCGCACACGTTAACAGCACGGTGTCGCTGGCGCCGCACCCCCGCGACTGCCGCCTCTTCTTCTACTGCAGCAGCATCGGCATCGGCATCCCCCTGGTGTGCCGCCGCTGCCCTGCCGGCCTGCACTTCAACCCGGAACTACTAGTCTGCGACTGGCCAAACAATGTCAACTGCACGGCCGGTCCTCCTCCTCGCCCGCGGCCCACACTGCATCCCACTGACAGCACAGCACTACCTACTGATACCACTGTCATATATTCTGATACTCCTACTCCAGTCGCTGAAAGTACTGTTGCTGAAACTTCCGACCAGCCCACGTCAACGTCGATGCCGCCGCAGTATTAAATATTTTTTTGTTTATTCCTAATAATACCTAACTATTGAAACACGTCGTAACTAAAACAAAAAGTTTTTAATCAATTTGTTATGTCTATATTACGTATTTTTTTTTATATTTGTTTTAAAATGTCTATCTATTATCAAATTAAACTATTTTGACCTTAACTTCATTGGATTGTTATAAACATTGTTGAATAAAAATCAGTTTCTTTAAAGTTTGTATATTTTCCTTTATTATTATTACATACAAGACTTACATGAGTATAGAGGGAGGGTATAAAGGGATTCGTGTGATCACAGACAGTAGAATACAGGACATTGCAGCACTGGAACACAGTATGGCGGCGGCTCAGCAGGGCTGGGCGCTCGCCGTGGCGTATAGTATCGACAGAGCATTGCATAGTGCGCGGTAGTTCACCTGTCGGGAACAGCACAGGTTACATGGCCAGGATCAGGGCACATACAAGTTTCCAGACATTACTTATATTTTAAGGGATTATTTTTTTTTATATCACAAACCAGCTGTATTATAGCAACATAACTATGCCTATCAGGGTGCAGCAAGTTCACTGCTATAGTCCGCGGACTGGTAGGTACAGACTATAACCGTCTTATTACAAAACCCGATCTATTTTTAGTACCAGGATTAATACTAGGTTTAAACCATGACTAAATAAAACGTTATTATAAAACAAAGTTTATCACTAGTTCCGGAACTATCTGTGGTACTAAAGTTAAACCGCCGAGACCCCTAGTTTAACTTCGGTATTAAAGTTATTTGAGGTTAGCTATCAGAAATATTTACGTGTATCTTCTATATTATTATAATAAATTGTAAAATGAATATTGAACCGATTGATGTAATGGATTTAAAAGATTTGGAAGATTTGGACATGTTAGAGACGTCTCGGCGATCGTACAGACATCGCCATCGTGTAAATAAATATCCCTTTGACTTGAGTGACGAAGACTTTCGATATAAGTACAGTTGTTGTTCCATTTCCAGTCAGTCACAATAAACAATAATATTTATAATAATAAAAAGGACTCAATATTTGTTTCGTGAACGTGCTCTGCCGCCTTCTTATAAGTCGCTCCATTTCACGCTAGAGGTGTTAAAAAATATGACAACTTGGTTATAAAAAGCTCGTCAAAATACAAGTTGTGCTTGTTCACTATATTGTAAAACAAACAAAAAACAATTTATGATATAATTTTGTGTTGATACATAATTATTTAAGCATTTCAGGCGTTATTGTAATAACAATATTTAGACGAACGGAACGTTGCTTCAAGTGGATCCTGAGTAAACCAATGAAAGAATGCTATTTATGTTTTTTATCTGTGGGACTATGAACTTTCTTTGGTACTAGCTGATCCCCGAATAGTCTTAGTTTTATAAAGTCCTGGTACTAGCTTTAATACCGTAACAAACCTAGATCTTATAGTCCGGGTTTAAACCAGTACTAAGTCGAACTTTTGTAATAAGACGGATTATGTAAGTAAAATCAGACCTCGTCTCCGCAGCCGCGCCGGTAGCCGAAGCATTTGTAGAGCAGGTCCCGCTCGCGCGCCGACACCAGCGCCAGCAGGTTCCGCTGGCACAGCGCGCGCTCCACCGACACGCGCGGGATGCTGCCGCAGCGCTCCTTGTCCATGTCCTGCACACCACCATACTTTATCATTAGGTTCTTGTCGACGTGATACTGATGCCAGGTTGCAGAATTTTTAATGATAGAGCGATCGAAGGATTCAGAGCATATTTATCGTTACGAAGAAAACTAAGCATATATATACGATATTATACATTTTAATATTTCTGTGAGCCACACCAACCGCTTTTCTCAAAATCGTTGCAATTGACCCAGTCTCCCTCCATTATGCTGCACGATAGGGATACAAATACAGAACTACAGGACTCCAGACAAAGTCCAGAAGATGCTGAATTTGTATATTTTGTTCTCTGAGACTTTCATTTTGTTTGGGTTTCGGGAAAGATATTATATGGAGTGAATGCCAGATTACTGACCTCAAACACCTCGAGAATGTTGGAGAGTTGGTCGGGGAACTTTGAGAGTTTTTTGAGTGCGCCAGAGACAATGTTCCGCTCCTCGAAGTTGAGGAAGTTGAGTGGCGAGTCGAGGGTGGGCACGTGCGGCACTGGTTCCAGTAGGGGCGCGCGTTCCAGCCCCGACTGCGTCAGCGCCTCGCCCACCGTACTGCAGAACCGCTCGTACTCTACGTAGCGGCGCCGTGCTGGCGCGCAGAACCTGTTCATCACATACTAATCATTAGAAACCACTTCTATAGCCACTTATACAAATAATGTACAGAAAAATACCTTATTTACCTCTCTATTAAAAGTGAAATAAGAATTGTAGGTTGAGAGTAACTTACACCTCCATAAGCGTGTCCATCTCGAGTGGGGTGAGGGAGAGGCCGGCAGACGCGAGACCTCGGTAGAAGTCGGCGCGCGGGATCACCAGCTCGTTGCGAGGATCGAACTGTTTGAGGAACTCTCTCGGACGCACACCCTCCCGTACCATCTATTGCAATGTAAAAAATCATAGAATAGAACAAACGATAGCAAAATAGCGGTTGTTTCATAAGAAAACATGAAGATAAAGTCTGCTTGCAGTAGGTATTTATTAGTCAGCTCACCTTGCCTTTGATCTTGGCGAGTATCTGGACGATGTCTGTCTCCAGCGGGTCCACGGTGGAAGAGCGCGCGCTGCGAGGCGCCGGCCCCGGCCCCGCGATAGTCGCGCTCTCCACCGGCCGCTCCACCATCTGCACCACACAATGTAACACTATGTACTACGGTGCCGACGACTCCTGTTACTTCTTTACTGATCTGATACCCAAGTTTGTGTGTTGTGCTGAGTATAGTTCTAAGAACTGGATTAATATAGACTAGAGAATAGCCACCTCGTCCAGTAACCGCACGTAGTTGAAGCCGCAGTCGTCGAGGTAGCGCGCCTCAAGCGCCCGCACCTGCTGCGCAGAGGGCAGCACGCCCAGGCGCGCCAGCACGCGCCGCACCTGCGCGCGCGACACGTGCCCGTTGTTGTGCCTGCGACAGTGGCGGAGTGAGGCCGGGTCCTGCGCCCACGTGGCGGTGTGGAGCGCGCTACTCACTCGTCGTGCTCGCAGAAAGCGGGGCGCAGGTCGATGGCGCGCTCGGTGCAGGCAGCGCGCACGCGTAGTAGCGCGGCCTGCGCGGCGTCCAGGTCGTCGACAGTCTCGCCCTCGCCGCGGTCGGGCGCCGCCCCGCGCGGCGGCAGCTCCAGCACCGCGTCGCGTGCTGAGCCCGCTATGGCCCCAGGGTGCTTCTCTAGCTCCTTTATTGTGAACACTGTCCGATGGCAAGTGTAAAGCTTTTTACAATAGTGAACTAGCATTTTTGACATCAACTCGTATATTATTTTCCATTACCTAACTATTCAGTTCAGGCTCATTTATTTTCATTTATAAATTTTATAAAAAACAAAAACTATGTATGTACCGACTCTACATAGGTATAATAGGTAACCTACTCATCTCCTCTTGGTATATGAAATAAACTGGTTACAGTAGTACCTTGGTCGCAGTCATCCTCGAAAGTTCTCCAGCATACGTGCTGGCTATCGTTGGGGTCGAGGTAGTGACGCATGATGCACAGCATCTCCTGTTGCGACAGCACGCTGCCCAGCCCCATGGCGTCCAACCCGCGCCGGAACTGCTGCGGGGCGATGCGGCCGCTGTTCAGTGGGTCGTAGTCCTGGGGGATAAATACAAGTTACACTACAGGGTGCTACTAAATAATATAAAATGATTTTGAGGTCTTCCTGATGATTTTAGTCTTGACTAATTTATTGATTTATTGTTTGAAATGACAGAAAACATAGACTTCTGAAACTTCGGTGTAAAATCTATGGGAATGTTATTCAATCTGCACAAGTACTTATTTAATTACTTTATCGTCAATTAGTAGCATTTGATCATTCTAAACTATCTAAACATTAATTATCGTTAATACTTACTCTTAAGAACTCTGAAACTCTAATGCGTCTCTGTAGCACGAACTCCTGGACTCTGAGCATGAGGTCGATGAGCTGCCTCGGCGGGTGTGGCTGTGCTAGCGCTGGGTGGAAGGTCTCCTGGAAGCCGAGCGGCGCGGTGGACAGCCCGGCCTCCACCTCCGGCCGCACCAGCTTCGGCAGCGTGGTGTCAATCACTGCACTGGGGTTCTGATACTCCTGGAAATTACAAGGAATAGTTTTTAACACCATTTCTGATTGGTTAGCTCAAATTTTCGATTAGATAGTTTCCTTCCCTTGATTGAAGAAACCAGAACAATAAACTGATGTTATCGTGAATTAAAGTTCGCGATATAAGGAAAAACCCACCGAACTGCTAACCAACAGTTTTGTTTAGACTGTAAACCTGTTTGATGTAATTGAAATAAATGACTTGAGTTTAGACTGCTCACCGGCCCCAGTCCCTGTACGCCTTGCTTTTTGACGGTGTCGACAGCTCGGAGGAACTCTACGTAGTCGATGGTGTACGAGTCTTTGATGAACTTGCGCACGAGCAGGTTGAAGTCATCCGCCGTCACTACCACACCGATGTAGTTCAGGATCCGCGCGAAGTGGGCGAACGTTATCCTCCCGTCGTTCTTAGCGACCTGGTAAAGTTAGCACAGGTTTCAATTCCATCTGCGAAGGATGTTACAAAGAGAACATTTTTACTTGTAGGTAACACGACGGGGTACTGTTGAATTTCCACTTTATTTAAAGACGAAAAGAATTGGATGGAATCAAATAAGATATATGATATGAGAGCAGTTTGTTTGGCTCGTTGGTTAGGTAGGCTCTAATTGTCAAGCTACCTTTAGCTTTAATTTTTTATGTTTCAAACTGACATTTTAATTTTAGAAATTTTTAGACATAACTCGAAATCTCTGTGTCTGGTTTATGGCAATGGGCTCTCGTATTATTACACCGATATAACCGGTGAAACGCGTCACATGTAATAAGACGTGTACCACAGCCCACTTTTACTGAATGTAATACCTACGTAGAAGCTGTGACGTTTTCAGAGAGCATAACAAACCAATTCGTAGTCCTGGAAGTATGGCTTGAGTGGTAGGTCCCTGTCGGCGATGGTGGCGAGCAGGCAGCACAGCCGCCGTGTCTGCCACTGGTCCAGCGTGTGGCAGGCTGGCTCGGGCGGCGGGGGACACGCCTCCAATATGCAGTCAGCAGAGGTCTTGTCCCGACCCCCAGCGTCTATCACACAGGTGTATTGATTGGCATTAGCTATGCAATCATATTTAAACATCGAACCGTAATAAAATCGAAAAACTGCTTGAATAATTAAAGTGTCTTGTTACATACACCTGATAGTCTAACGACAAGTAAAACAGGTGAAAGCTTCTGGACAGATGGCGCTTCTTGAACAATATTGACATAAAGCCAAATCCGATTAAGATTCAGTGGCGATTCAGTCTAAAACAACTAAATTAGGAACATACACACAACAGGAGAAATGAATAATCTTCACAATATGTTTCCACGTACGTCACAAAACATTCGTTTAGAGTTTTTAATTTGAACACGTGTCGTTCATTTGAACAATGTCGTGGTTGCCCGGAGCAATGTCGTGGTGGCCCGGAGGTTTAAGACGCCCGCTTCTCATGCATGAGGGTGCGAGTTCGAAACCTACCAACAGTAAGTACCAATGCGACTTTTTCCGATTTATATGTAGGTACTTTCTAAGATTATCTATCTAGACACCACTGACAGACGGTGAAGGAAAACATCGTGAGGAAACCTGGACTTATAATTTCTAATTTGTAATCGCCAACCCGCATTGAGCCAGCGTGGTCATTAATGCTCAAACTGCTCTCAGTGTAAGAAGAGGCTTTGCTCAGCAGTGGGCATTTATAGGCTGTTAATAATGCTGATGATGATTTGAACACGTACCTACTAAATTTCGTGTCGTATGACAGTACTTGTTTTGTCTTGACTCTTGTTTATATGAGTACTATACCTCTGAGTTATGTAGGTATCTAAAATTTGGACAGCGTGCAGTACTCATGGGTTATATTGAAATGGAATGTAATATCAGGCGCAGTATGGGAGCAGCCGAGCCGCGGTGAACACATCTTATTGATTGCCTGGTGCCTGACCCGGTTACTGTCGCTAAATACAGCCAACCTCACCCTGCTACACTCCTGCAGTTTTACATCACATGCAACTGACCCCTGCTTACATAGCCACAACACAGAGGGAAATATACTACAAAACAACCAAAAGAAATTAAACAAAATAATATTTTTGATTGTTTACTTGAAAAGTTTCAAAAATATAAAGTTTGGGCTCGGACACGGCTGGGGAGTGACAGTCTACTACGTGGCTCTCAGTCTAGTATCAAAGTAGTTCGCACACGTCTGGCTCTCTGAAAATACAAAGTATTGAGATATGGTACACACTGTATTCCCAATATTTCAAACAAGTTTTGAAACTAGGAGACAGACGCACAGTATACACATCCATAATCAATCACATTATGTAACTCTAAACTAATTTAGTTTTGAATGCTCTTTGTGTTTGACTGGTTACATTGAAGTAGTGCAGTCGTCTCACCTTCCCCGTGTATAATCTGGCAGAGCTGGTGGTACAGCACGCGGCCATCTTGTGCTCGGAAGTAGTCAGCCAGCTGAGCGATCTCAGAGTCGGACAGCCCCACCACCGACCGCAGCGGACCAGCCAATATTGATACAAACTTCGATTCTATAACAATCAAGTACACTCGATTTAATAATGGAAGATCTAACAGTTTCTTCTAAACAACATTGCTGATTAAACATATTTTCTCTTGTTATTAAAACTATTTATTTTTGATAATATTATAGGATATGTTATGATGTTAAATCAATGACAATGAGCAATGACATCACTCAATAGATGTTTAATCTTAACCGACTTCAAAAAAGGGGGATGTATTATGTTCGGATAATTGTTTTTTTAATTTGTTCACCGATTACTCACCAATTTCTAAAATTCTTATTGCATTTGAAAGGTTATATTACCGAGAGGGCTCCATTTTCATCAAGTGAGGATCTGATGATGGAATCCTACGGAAACCGAGGGGAACTTTCCTTGGGAAGAAGTGGTATTGTTAAGGGAACTCGATCCTCAACGGTATACAGTAACTACCTTGTGCATGGGCTTGATAAATTTGCATTAATTAGAACTTTGCACCTGTGGATTATAAGTGGCAAAACTGGTCTATGTACCTAACTTTAAAAATGATAAGTAAGTAAAAAAAATAAATACTGTGCTTAAAAAACCAACTACAAAAAACTGAAAACCTTTAGTTTCTTGAAGTCGGTTTCAAATTATTAATTAAAAACTTTAACAGGTAACCTATCAGTAAGTACTAATAATAGTTATTTTTTACATTTTATATTTACTTTTTGTGTGTTTTTTAAACGCAATTTTTATTTTTTTATAATACCCTATCATCATCCCTACTGTCACCGGTGCACCGTACCTGATATGAGGGAGTTGCCCTCAGGGTCCAGAGGTCGGTACCAGTCCCAGAGGTTGAGGCCGACGCGGAAGGCAGCCGCGCGGATCTTGTTGCACGTCTTCCATACATCTGCCAGCCGGATTATCTATGGGCCCCACAATAAACTTGATCTTTAATGCTGTTATTATAAATCTTTGTGATTTATCATTTTTGTAATAAAACCTTGACCCGGATAAGCTACAATTTCACATACACAGATCCCGAACATAACTTGGTATTTACTAACATGAAGATGCAATTAAACTGATTAAAGTATTATGTCTAAAATGTATGGCAAAAAGCTCGCCCTCAGTGGGCCTACAGAGTTTGTGGAAGGTGTGGAATGTTTTTATAATAACTATCGTGAGACATGCTAAATGAACTAAAATCGCCGGAAAAAAAAGAGTAGGCTGCGCGACATCGCCGCGACCGCGCGCGTTGCTCATGAGGAAGAACCCCTCTGTGGTTCGAAACTAGTAGAGCTTTTCTCAGTATGTTCACGTGAGTAACCCGCGATTTTTAGTTAAGTTGTGGATTGTTTAATTTGTACATGGGACATGTTCAGATTATCTCAGTCGGCGTTGCAACATATCAGTGTGCACAGTAACAACACGAGCCCCACCTACCGTGTCATGCATTGTGATGCCGTGGATGAGTCCCCAATGTTTATAGTACCACTGGGTCTGTAACCTCTCTCATACCAACTGCATTTATATGAGATGGTGTTTATTCGCGATAATTTTGAAACAATTTTCAAATAAACATAAAAATTTTACGTTTGAAAATGGACGTCACACAACTGTCAAAAACTGTTGACATTACTTTGTAAAGATTCGATTTTGTTTTTATTGTACCAGATAAAAAGGAGGTCGAATGTATTGAGTACTATTACTACTTATATTTTATATCCCAAATATTTTGCGTAATTATTTAAAGGACTAGACGAACTTTTTACCTGTTATGTTAAAGTGAGTGACCAGACCTGGTAAAAAATATCAATAATTTCGATTATCAAAAATCACAATAATAGTTTACCCATTGCAAGAGGCAAGAGACTGCAAGAGGAAGAGGACAACTCAGCTAATAATGTTAATGCTACTCACCCATATTGCCCAGGCGTATGGGCAGGACGTGGGTAATTAACCTATAAGGTGTGTTGAATGACACTGCTACGGGCTACGATAACTGCTACGTAGGTCGTAGCGGGGCTACGAGCGCCTACGAACTACTACGTACGTCTTTTTTAAATTACTTCGTAACCACTTGTTCTATAAATTACAAATTACTTACTTTGTTATGTTAAATATGTGCCTACCTCTATATCCAGATAAACCTATATGTATAGCGTTACCTCGTCATCTATCAATTTGTCAATGGGAGTACGCTGGTGCTAGGCCGTTACGTTACCTCCCCTCCTTTTATGTATGACCAAAGCTTTTCTCTGACTGTAATACATTGCTGAGTATATAAGGTTGGCGCGTCACAGACCTAGGTATCCAAGAGGTAATGTACAGGGGGCGTAGTGAGCAGCGTGTAAGGTGGAGAAGGTCGGAGGTAGCTCGGCACATGCGCGCGGCGGGACTCGGGCGACCAATGACGTCAGAGGCATCGATCGCGCGGCGCGGCGCGCCTCGGCACAGCTCCTCGGCTCCTGTCACCTCCGGAGCACGTGAACAGAGCCTGGAGGATGCTGGCAGGCGCCGTATAGGGGCACGCCACGTGTATTCATGTCCGGCAACCACCCATGTGCGGGCTAAGCTTCAGGACCAGGAATAGCCCTTCACAGAAAACCTCCCTCCGATGGGGCGACAGCTGCCCGCCGCGGCCGAGCAGTAACTCCTCGGAGCAGTGAGACAGTGTACCAGTTTAGTGCAGTAACTGTAGTGCGTGCCGTGACACATGGGAGCCGAGTGACTGCTCGCTGACAATATTTGACACACAGTAAGTGCTGCACACTCACATACTTCTATGTACCAACTATTCACTTCCTCTATTATTTTGGAGTAAATACAACAAAGCATTGATCTAGTCGATCTATATACTGTCGAATTGTTACTATTATGTATGTGAGCTTACAATGACCATAATATATATATTAATAAAAATATTATTAAGCTATTTTCTTTACTCAAGCTATACATTGGGAGTTTATGAAATTAAATAGGTTAATGACATTTTATATTTGTCGTATGTAAAAACTAAGTAGTGATGAAGGAAAACAATTATAAAATTAACTGAGAATATCGGAAAATGGGCACAATACGAGGAGCTCGGGCGGGCGACTGTTGCAATTTTATACAGTTAGTGTTAGTTGAGTATACCTTGCTACCTATGACTTATAAGAATGTATTGTTCCAAATCGGTCTTCATTTTGAGCACACGTTGGTCTAATAATACATATATTGCTGCATAGGTGATGTGATCATTATGTTAGGCATATCCATGATAGTCTACATCATAGGTATCACAGAATCGTATTAGCATCACGTAGTACTAAGCGAGGGATGTGCAGATAACTTCGTGGTTATAGAATCAGTGCACGAATCGTTATTGATTGCAGGGTTATTATTAGACCGTGAGGTCACAGGTAATATCCGAACTGCGCTGAATTTTCAACTGTCATCCACTGTGGCAGTATAACTATATTATAACGACTGTTATTCCTGGCAGAGGTAGCACTGTATCTATAATTTAACATGATATTATTTTAGGTCTTGTGTTAGTTGAATTGATGCTGTCACCTACATTTGAAACTCCATTTTACTACGGCGTGTAAGTTGCACATACTGATACATAAATGCTTTACATTAATTTAGACAGGACAACAGATAATGCTCATTGTTGAATGCTCGTGCTCCTAAACCAGCTCGTAATAAATACAACGAGGGAATAGTAATTAGCAACACGAGTAAGAGTATCAACCTGTATTATCTAAATTTTAGATATAAGATTTATCTTAGGTTATAAGATTTAGGCTTTCACCGAAGTTTCTGTGTTAATTAGATCAGTATTGTTGATACCATGAGATGATGACAAGTACTAGTGGCCAGACTGACAGTAACCGATAAATCATGTTATAATGTTAAACTTTAGAAAGAAAGCAGATACAGGACATTGCAAGTATAAGAATGTACTTAAAATATATGTGTGTACAGGAGGAGGGAACATCATTCAAGATGATCAACATAGCGGGCGTGATCTCCATCGTGCTCTTCTACGTGCTGATCCTGGCGGTGGGCATCTGGGCGGGGCGCAAGAAGCCAGCAGGCAATGACTCGGAGGAGGAGGTCATGCTGGCTGGGCGGTCCATTGGACTCTTCGTCGGAATATTTACCATGACTGGTGAGTGAACGAAACAGAGGCAAGTGTGAGCTGCAAGGTTCTTATTAGAGGAGTACAATAAGTACACTTCTCTAATGATATCCTTTGAGTAATTTCGAGCATTAATTAATATTGGTTTTTTATCTATTTTGGAATAGTTTTTGGTTGGACTTTCTATCAAAACTTAAAATAAATACAGATTAGGATTTAGACAGAACTTTATAGCAAGTAATAGGTACGTTCTTTTACACGAAACAAAACAATTCATTAACTAAGTATATTTGTACTTAGTCTCAATTTATTTGCCATTACTAACAAATAATAGATAATTCACTCATCGTTGATTGTTCATGTGAAATGGGAATTACCAAAACTAGTACATACATACTCGTAGTCAGGTACTTGCGGCAACACTTGAGATTGTCTATTGACTCTATTTATAGAAATTAGAATGCGAATTCTTGTAACTTCGTGAGTTTTAAACGTTTGAACATAAAAAACATATAATTTTTAAACCTTTTTTTATTTGAAGCAATTTGGTGATTTCTATGTGAGCGAGGCCTATTATTACTCATTCATACGTTGGGCACTGAAACTTATATCTTTATTATTTCTGTTCATGCCAATAAAGAATCCAGGCTTCTGTTCTTCAGTTTTCCTCTCAACCTCATAATCGATGTCAACGTACTAAACATTAAATTTCCGTACTCTCTACTGTTACTTACACAGTTCATTACTTTCAATTAATCATCATTTCGCATTGTCCACACTTGTAATAAGTAGCCACTTGAAACAATGTGAGGATTCACCTAGGTTCTCTAAAAGAGACCTTCTTTCAATTCAAAACAGTTCTATTTCGATCGCAGCTGTCCTGTTATATTGTTTGACGACCTGTTCAGTACAACATGCAGGAAATTCCTAATTCATTAACGATATTATAAAATGAACTTTAAAGCAATTTGTTAGCGCAGAATTTCGATTGTAATGTAAATGAGGTTGTTTTCTAATTTCTTGTAAAGGCGTCAAAAGTAAGTGTTTTGTATTTTCCGTAAATATTGATGATTCTGAGTGTCTCGTTGTAAACTAATCGTTTCAATCGTCGACTTGTTTAGATAGGACCTATATTTTGGTTTTCCTTATGAGTGCACTTATGTTCATCACGTTGTAGTATATACTTACGTTATGTAACACTTACCAATTAAGAGTTCAGTCTCTATGATCGTATACTAACATTTATTTAATTAGTGAGATTTGTAAAAATATCTTTACATTAAAAACTGCAATTATTTATTTTCATTTTGTTGATGCCATTTTTTCCCGAGTGCCAAGATGGGATTGTTTCCCTAGACCTATATTTAGGGAAACAAACACTACTATAAGTGTAGCGCCTAGTGGCAGCAGTTCTCCAGCAGTGCTGTTTGTTGCAGCGACGTGGGTGGGCGGCGGCTACATCAACGGCACGGCCGAGGCTATCTACACGTCGGGGCTGGTCTGGTGCCAGGCACCCTTCGGATATGCCCTGTCACTCGTTTTCGGTAAGACAACCACCAGCTCATTGAGTTTATAGTTTCTTTAATATATTTGCATTGTTATTGTCTCGTAATAAGAGATCTTTGATTGTTTACTTGATCGAATGCTAGCAAACGTTTTTCGGTTTTTTTAAAGATATGCCCTAAAGATATAGAGTAACAGTGTTGGAGTAAGCAACAAGTCGCACTTTATGTATAATGTGGGTCTTAGGCAGTAACGTAAAAGTTAGTATTCGGTACATCAAATAATATGAGAGTCGAGATGGTGGCTCCCCACTGGCTCGTAGCGTGACGTGTGTGTGTGGTCGGCAGGCGGAATATTCTTCGCGAACCCGATGCGCAAGCAGGGCTACGTGACGATGCTGGACCCGCTGCAGGACTCCTTCGGCAGCCGCATGGGGGGGCTGCTGTTCCTGCCCGCACTCTGCGGGGAAGTCTTCTGGGCAGCCGGTATACTTGCAGCACTGGGTGAGTCCAACTATCTATGCTAACTATATAAAAACTATAAACTCGAAGTGTTTGTTAGTTGAACGCTTATCTTCGGAACTACAGATTCAGAGTGGAGTGTTGGGTTTTGTATATTGTTGCATTTTTTCATTGATAGGTATGATGAGCGACGTTATACACGTCACGCCTAGCGGTCTGGATCTATGGTGTGACATTTTTCGTCCTCTGTAATCTGTATACTCTCTTTAGACTAAAAATTCTAGTAAAGGAAACAAACTTAGTACATTATGTCAACGTAATCTAAATATATAAAATGATTCGTACGACCATTTGTAATACTTAGCATTCTGTCACTATTCTACGAAGGTAGCGTTGTGTCGCGTGGGTGTATATTTTACTAGCTACATTTGTCAGCTCACGTCCCACGCTTACCATCACCTCACCTTTGACATTCAGTGCTTTAGTATGTTCCTAGGTATTATACATTTTGAACTTTATCGAAAAAAAACTCTGATCATCTCCCTGCAGATAGATATTTATACATAAAGTTCATTAAACAAATTATATTTTTAACGTAGCCAAAGACATGTAATTTGTATGGATCAATGCGTTGGGGCCTGTATATCAAGTAGATATACTTGTAATAAATGTTATGTACATAAAGTTCATTAAACAAATTATATTTTTAACTTTAGGCTCATACTAAGTATGTATGCATTGTGTCAACAAAAAGTAATATATTTTAAAATGATACAGCAGTTCGGGATGGTATTGAGTCTGTAAAAGAAATTATACAATGTTTAATTATTTATTAGTACCATTTGTAGGTACTAGTTAATCAAAACTTTAAACTAATGCCGCCCGACGTGGTACTTGTTCAACACCGACAAAGTCTGCCAATATCTTTATGAAAATGTTGCTATCACGGATTAAATATTGTAGGGAAAGTATAGAATTATACATTTAAATATAGTTATGTATGTTCTGGTACCTTTTACTTTTGAAGAGCCTTAAAAATTGTAATATCGAAGTCCGTCCCCGAAATCGAACTACGATGATACAAAAAAAAACATTTCGTAACGTAAGTATCTATTTGCGTTGTAGGCAATTTATATAAACAAGGGACTATAACAATGGGGCAGACATTATTGTCTCAAGTCTAGACTTGGTCTCGGCCTAGACTGAGAATATTTTGCGCCTGAATAAATCGAAGCTTTGCGTGCGTCATACTTGCTGCCTACCTTGGTAAGTCTAGTGTACCTAGGTCACTCACATATACTTGCGATAGTACCCATTCTGGACTAATTTAAGTTATCTTATACTTTATTATATGAAGCTGAGGAGTTTCTTTGTTTGTTCCAAGGCGCTAATCTCAGAAACTAATAATCCGATTTGAAATATTATTTTTGTGTTGAATAGCCCACTTATTGAGGAAGGCTAAGGATAGGCTGTAAAGCAACACGCTGCGACCAACCAGAGCAGGTGAAACCGCAAACCGCGAAAGTAGCTAGTTACAAATATTTTAATCGCCATATTTGGACAGTTCATAATTAAATATTCACTTGTTTTTAAACATAGCTAATATTTTTTAATTACTTACTTTTTTCAAGCAAACATGATTCGCATAGTTGTTGAACATTTAATCGTGGAGGGTGTAGGCGTGTGTGCACTCTTGCTGATACGTATTAATGTAACTGTTAATGTTCACCAGTTTTGTTATTGTATCACTTGTAATAGGACTGGATAGAAGTTAAGACTACATGCTGTTAGACTCTAAATTTAAGAACCCAACATTTATTGTGGACAACAGATGCTTACAGCTACACATCTAACGATTAAACTGTACAATTAAAACTACACAGCTAAATCCAAAGGTGTGTAGCACGCATTAACGAGGTTAAATCGTCATGTGAGTACTAACATGGTGTTTACATGGAGTTCATCAAAATAGATAATTATCCAAACAGTATGTAGTACGATAATATTATCAATACATCCATATTTTATCTACATGTAACGAGTAGAGACAGTAGATAGATAATCTCTGGCATTATTAATAATGTTGTATAGTTATAGGCCGGTTTATGTAGTCAAATATTGAGGACGATAAGGGAACATTGGGAGGTAATGCAGGGGGAGACGAGAGGGGAGGTTACCTACGCAAATTGTGTTTCCTTTATAGAATTATTTATGTTATAATAATAATGATGATCTGAATATTTTGGACACATTAAGGTAACATTCATAGTCATATAAGTCGAAGTATTACATTATATTATTATAATCAACATTCTGAATCACGTTGATGTCGAGTCTACAGATGGTGTTTGGTCGTTGTGTTTTTAGTGTGGAAAGTAGCCTAAGGCGATGTGTTTGAACATTTAATATTCTCAGGAAGTACATTATGGATTCTTTCTTTACCCACACTAGTTTCTTCCCGTGGCTGCGCCCGTGTACCAGTGAGATAAAAAAATAGTCTATGTGGTATTCCAGACCATTATCTGTTCCTAACATCCGGATACCTTCAGCCGTTTTGCGGTGAAGGAGTAACATTAAACAAACATACATAGTATTGTTGCATGTATAAATAATATTAGTGGGATATTTTCACACACTTCTATTGGTACTTACATGAGAGTCTACAAAGATATTTTATTACTAGTGGACCCGACAGACATTGTCCTGTCCTGTAATAATAGGTATAGATAAATAACCTAGAAACCGACTGCAGCGTCATCTGCCGGGCTGATTTGTGAATCTAAACCATTCCCAAATCCCCTTGAACACACACAAAAAATTTCATCAAAATCAGTCAAGTCGTTTGAGAGAAGTTCAGTGACATACACACTCACAGAAGAATTATATATACATATAAAGATAAAGATGTGTATTAAGTAAGGTTTAGAATTGACTATGTAAGGCTAAGGAAGGCTGTTCCCCATCCACTCTGAACGGTTCAGGGTTACAGTCAGATAACGTCAGTCGTTTGTCATCTGATGGGTTTCAAGATAAGTCTCTGTTCCTTGTGCTGGTAGTATCTCATCGTCAGAATTATTCATGATCGTTTTACTAAAAGTATCGGAATGCTTTTATTCGGATTTTTTTTTCAGTGTTTTGAGGCGTTTAATACACTTACACAACTTCCGAACGATGAATACTAAGTCAGATTTGTAATTGTGCACGCGACACTTGATGTAAAACCTTCCTCCAAGGGCCTCTGTCCTTTGCGGGCTCTATGGCTTGTAAAAGTGTGAGGCCGGTGACGTTTTTTACAGCATCTAGTTAACGGGTAGGTGGACCACGAGGTCTTTTCCCGATAACCTTACCAACAACCCCCAGCTTCCCTAGAATGTTGGCGTTGTTAGAGAAAATAATTCAATAATTTCTCCAAAACTATCACCCGCACATACCAAGGTTGGGAGGCTTAGTTATAAATAAAATAGGTATTCGGAGTTGAATTCAGTTGTACCAAATATGTCAAGGTGCCAGTAGATATTTCTTATCTTTGGTATAAAAAGGGTCGATAGAAATACTTGTAGGACTCAGAATAAGAACAGTTCGTGGAGGAACCCTTTATTTGTCACAGCGCTGGTGTCATGTCATTATAAATGAGGTCGTAGACATCTCTGCTACTGTCACTATAGCAGCTTACCAACATTTGATGTAGGTAGATACATAAACGCTAGAATTAGGTGTCAGAGCACCTTGTCCAAGTAATAACATCTAAGTCCAGAGACTTAGCATAACACATAACATAACATCACGCCTTTTATCCTCAAAGGGGTAGGCAGAGGTGCACATTATACCACTGTACAATGTAACACCCACTTTTCACTGTTTATGTTATGAGTCCCATGTAATAGGGGGTGAGCCTATTGCCATATACCGGGCACAGTTCCAGACTCCGTGCTATTACTGAGAATTTTTTAAAAACCTAGTAATACTTTGCCCGACCCGGGAATCGAACCCGAGACCCCTTGCTCGGCAGTCGCAATTGCGACCACTCGGCCAACGAGGCAGTCCAGAGACTTAGATGTTGTTAAATTAGTTTATACCGTAAATATTTTTTATACGTCGGCGCACACACCGTGCTATTATTTTCTCCAGTGTTGTGAGTGCGTTTGCAAACAAGTTTACATACAGGTTCACATACACATGCCACTCAAACCAGAAATAACAATTTATGGATCGCATAAAGAGTTGCTCCGTGTGGGAATCGAACCCGCTATACGTAGCAAATGTTTTGTCCAATATTGTTATTCTATCATCTATTGTAATAAACCTAAACTGTATATGGCGTGTGGATAAAACCACAGAAAAGATCTTTTATCATATACTATAGTATATATATATATATATATAATAAGATATTATTTATTATATTGTCCTTGGATATGATGATGATGATGAACAGTAAAACTATAACCAAATTTTAGTTGCTCTGAAAAGAGACAATTTTATTTTATTACCTATTTACAAAATCTAGTTTTAAAACTTTTACAAAACATTCTTTAATAATAACTATGCACTAATTTTACCTGAAAAGAGAAACAACATTTAGAGCTATTGTTTCACCAGTTCTTATCAATTATTCTAATTACATTAAAATTCTTACTTGTACATAACAATTAACCATTTTACTTTTCATATTTTTCACAGTCATTCAATATGACAGTTTACTCCACAGATTAGCTATTTCACAGATCAAAAATACCTTACACTGCAAATCCAAACTATACAAACTAAATGAAGTGTCACGCACTTTGTTTACATCTCCCCCCCTTCTAATTTACAAAGGTCTATTGTGTCACTCTATTGCTGGAATAAGTTTTGTTATATGAAAGAGATTCGACTCTGGCTTTTTGTGACCTGTGTTAACTTTATAGATTGAATTGGATATTTTGTCTTCTATTTTATAGGGTCCTATTTTCAATTCGTCTAGTTTTTTTCGGTTTAACCGGTTTCCGTTTTCCACATATACAGAATCTCCAACTTTTAATTCATAATGTTTTCGGTGTTTA